CGTCAATGAAAACTGTCTAAAACCAATTTGTTCTTTTTAACCCTTTAACTCCTGAAAACCTACGAGGAGTAATTCAAACTCTTTTTGTCAACTGAGTGTTTTCTGTCATATTTTAGGCCTGATTAAAAAGCCTGATTGTGTTCTGGGTATTCACGGCCAGAAATTTGACCACACAAACCAACTTTGCAGTGCAGTAAGCAATGCTGTAAACATCTTTCTTATTTTAGTATTTTGCATTTCTGAATTTTTTCTTGTTCTGCAATCTTTTATCGCCCGTCTTTGAGTCGTTGGGCTATATTTTGGGAGATTTGGCTGCAAATGTTGCCCTCTGTAGCTCGATGTGCTAGCTGTGGAGAATATCAACAAGACTTCAGATATCTTTCTGGGAACTGAGTGTCTGTAGGAGGAGGGGGGTGTAGAGGTTGAGTGCTGGCTGTATAATAACCATTATTCAGCTGAGATGGCTATCCGGAGAGGGCTATCAGTGCTGGGGCCAGAGACACTGTGATTAGATTTCCCCCGTGTTGCTATTCTTCTTCTGTCCCTTGATCTTTCTGTGCCACTGTTCTCCTTTTGTATATTACTCAAACAGTTCAACAAGAATCTTACTGGTCATAGAACTGATGGCATGTCACAGAGAGATGTATTGAAGAGACGAGAGTTCAGGTTTCTTTCAAAGTTTAATTTGCTTTGGTCAGAAGCTGTGTCTTTGGAAATGTTCTATTATCAAAATTTACCAACTGTCAATTCCAGATGACAGAATTCAACAGCTGTTTTTCACATCCTTTACTCTGCGTGTTGTTCAAAACCCAATAAACAAATTGCTCTGTTGACCAAATGGACTTTACTCCATTTGTACCGCATCTGTATTTTATAAACACACTCTCAGCACACGCCCCTTGTTAATGTGAACAGTTGTGGCTGCAAAGCAGGTGCAGAGCAAATGAAACTGCATTGTTGAGAGTCTGAGCAGCTGGGTCTGCCTATTAGTTAAAGATCTAATTTTTCAGACTCCAGTGTGTGGCTTTCAAAGAGTGCGCCAATGTTTTTCCATCCACATCCACTTTCATCCACTTCCGCTGTCTTTATTATCCCATTTCTTTGCGACTTCTTCGACACACACATGTCCCTTTCTCTCCCATTCTCTCGCTCCTCCCTTCCTTTCCTCTCACTCTGCCTTGCTCCCTCTGTGGTATCAATGCACGGGGCTGCTTAAAGCCTGTGTCTCTATGCTGTGGCGGTAGGTAATCAGTTAACCTCATTATGCTGCTGATGAAATTAAATCATTGCAGTAAGTGAAAATAATAATATGAGTAATAGGTGCGGGGTATGGTGGAACACCCCATGGCATTTGCTGCAGTCCCAGCCAGTCAAGATTTACCTCTCTCTTTCTCTCTCTCTCTCTCTCTTGCTGTAGCGAGCCATCGGTGGAAGATAACCGATGGCTCGGAGAAAAAAAGGGAGCTTTCAAACCACCGATGTTGACATCAGTTAAAAAGTCATATGTAATGTAATATGTCAGCATCCATATGCATATCAATATGCTGACCACCAGCCAGCTTTTGAGCTGCCAGGTGCCTGTTTGGTTTAGGTTTGGTTAAGGTCCTGAAAATTATAAATGTGTATTACACTGCATGGATAACACAGCAGTACTTTGCACTACCTACAAAATGGCAGAGTGAGTTCTAAGGTTATACATTACCTTTTCAGCAAGACTGCTCATTTATCAGTCTATTATATGTTCCCTTTGCCCTAAAAATAGTGAAAGCCAAACCAAATGGCCATCAAATCACATTTCTGCGTCTACTGCAGTTACCTGGTTCGGTATTTATTTATATATTTAGTTTAAGAGATGGTTTGGTAGCAGTGAGCAGTCAGTGGAAATGAGATTAGTCGGGGGACTTATGTGAGTCTAAAGGACAGACCTTTTGGAAGGCTGCAGTTAGCATGGTGGAAAGCAGAACGCAACAGCAGGCGTGAGTCTGCAGATTAACAGCCGGGCGGTGGCTAAGCTAACCAGAGGCTGATTAAAGGCTTTGCACCTGTCACTTGCATAATGATATTAAGTGGTGAAGCAAAATTAAAGACAATTATGGATAATGATGGCATTCAAAAAAAAAGCAAACCACAGACAGGCTACCTATCCCTGCCCAGCTCATTATGAGAGCCAAGCTGCACAAACCATATACATTGTCCTTTTATAACTATGGATTAAACTAATGAACACAAGCAGCATGAAATGTTTGCACTGTACTTCTTTCAGGCAAGCATTGTGCTGTCGTAAAGAAGATGCTTTGCAGTTTGAGCGATGGTTAAAGTACGTCTCCAGGAAATGATTGAGTTAATATAAAGTGTTCTGAAGTTGTGCTTGTGTAGTAAAAGACTGAATTTATATTTGAAAATTCTTGCCAAAATGCGGGGTGTAACAGCAAAGTGTGTCTCGTAGCACTCTGCGAGGCTGTAAGGTGATTGCTGGCCTAACTGACAAAGGTTGCTTTCAGCAAAACAAGAAAAGAAAAAGAAGGAAAAAGAAAACAGCAACATTATCACTGAATAATGCATGTGTGTTGATTCCATTTGGCTTGAGAAGATCTGTCATTTCAGACGGCATACGTCATAGAAGAGTAATTGCTGTGCCATTATGGAGGACTAGCCCTTTGGGAATTCTAGGATACTATCATCCCGTGTCATTGGTTTCCTTCTACCCTTCACAGTCAGGCTGGCTAACCCTAAAGTAACACTCCCTCGATGAGTGATCTATTTATTTTTGCATGGCCGCCTTTATCGACAGAGTCTGTAAGCTTCAGGGGAAAAGATGTTATCAGACTCTATTCCAGGGGAAGCGAGCAACCAAAATACAAGCCTTTTTTTTCTCCAGGAAAGGCTGCCGATGCTGTATCAGGTCAGAGCAGCTAGAACGATAGCACGATCTCTCAGAGAATCCGCTATCCCTGCTTCTTGTTTACTGCTGTTTTCTGTCCTCCCTCGCGTCTCTGTGCACATTCACTCTTGTCTAATAGTGCATGTTTTCAGTTTCATAAATGCTGTCTGTCTAGGTTTCATTCGACACTTTTCACACTGTAAAGACGTAGTTAACGCAATGTGCCGTAAAGATCCGGCAACGTCAAAGGCATCAGATGTAACACGCAGAGAGCAAGGTAGACCTGCTCTTTACAGATATCCTTGTCCAAGAGGCAGAACAAGCTGGAGAAATGCTGAAGTGCAGCACATTTTATGGTATACATGGATCATTGACACACAGAAGATGCTGCATGTGAGAACACGTCCCTATGTCTTTGCTAAGTGATGTGGCTTGCTTTTTGAGCTCTAGAGATTATATAGGGTGATCATCAATAACTGATGGAGAGACTGTGAAAGCATGAAAGGATGTAAATGCCCGCATTCTTTTAAACCGATCACTGAAATATTTATTTTGCTTGACCGACGTCAGCCTTAGTTTAACCGGCTTTGATTTGAGACCCTCTAGTTCTTCTTCTTGTTTTTTCAGATTGTCTGAAGATTCAATATTTCATTTCTAAATGTGAATGCACATAAAACCACTACTCTACTCTCCATATCTCCCTACATAGTGTGTCATATAAATCCATAAAATAAGCGTATGTATTTCAGTTTCTTTTATGTGGCAATTTTACCAATTAAAGCTAAAACAATTCATTATGAAAGCTACGTGAATCAATAATATTCATTATCTTGAAATTCCTGCTGCCTTTTGATTTGAAATGCTTAACTGTGATGACTTAAAGATGTGACAGTAGTGGTTGTGAAAATGAAATATGCCTCGGTCCTGTTAAGGTTTTTAAGGGAGTCCCACCATGATATCACTTGCAAATGGAAAATAAATAATAGCTTTTTATGACTGTCCTTTAAAGGCAGATAGTCAGAGTCTGTGACTCAAGCTGCTCCCCTAATTTCCCTTGATTTAGTGCTTGCAAAATATCCGTGAGACCACCACAGTGTCTGCAAAGTGAACATGAGGTCATCGGCTTGCCGAATGAAAAGCGAGCTAAGTCAGTCAATCTTCTCCAATTTGGGATGTGGCCTTACTCTTCTGAATCATATTACAGCTTAGGGTACTTCCCCCTCAGCTCTCATCAAAAGAGAATTACTCACTACCCTGCTCGAGTCCGGGTAGAGGTCAGGGGATTTGACCCATGAGACTAATTGCCCTAAGAGAGCATGGAGCCTGCATCAGAACGACGATGACAATGAAGAACACTAGACTGTCATGTGTTTAAAGTGAAATAATTACTCAATGGTGCGTGATTATTAGCTGTAAGGATACCACAGCGTTCGTGTGTCTGAATAACAGTCACTGATTAGTGTGATGGCACTTAAATTATCGTGATAATAACGGCAAATATGTTCAACTGTAACTGCCGAACTCATGCACATTTAATGCAGATCTGTCAAATCTGATCAGTTACATCTCTCTGCAGACTTTTTTAATTCCACAGTGGCCATTTTGACTTGTCACAGTAGGGAAAGCACTGGTGCATTAATGATGGCTGAGGGGAGAGGCTCTACTTTTGCAGATGCTGGTTCGCTGTATTTGCTTACTGGCATTCTTCGTGGAACTGCGTCACAGTAGTTCCCTACTGTGACATGTCAAAATGTCAGCCATGAAAAGCGTCTGTTGGTGTCAAGTGTGGGCATTTGGGTTGATAGTGTGGCTCAGATGAACAAATGTCTAAGATTTTCTGCTTAAATAATATGAAATTGGTCCACAATGGTTAAAAAAAAACTATAGAAAGTCTATAGTAAAAGGAGGACTTGTAACCATGGCAACCTAGTGGGTAGCACATGCAGAGAGTTCTAAAGATAAACACAAAATATTCTTAAATCTTGTGGCCTTAACCTAGCCAAAGAGTGAGCCAAATCTTTACTTAAACTTGAAATCTAAACGTAAAAATGAAATCTATTAATAAGCGAATGAAATAACCTCAGAGGACTCACGTGCACTCTCCTGCTCTTTTTTACAGAGGACCTTCTTCCACCAGGCTTCCCTAACATTGACATGGGGCCTCAGCTCAAAGTAGTGGAGCGCACTCGAACAGCCACCATGCTCTGCGCCGCCAGTGGCAACCCTGACCCGGAAATCACTTGGTACAAAGACTTCCTGCCGATTGACCCCACTGCAAGTAATGGGCGAATCAAACAGTTACGCTCAGGTAAGGAAAGCTAAAGCATTGTATTGCTGCTCTGGTTCCTTCTTACTAATGTGAGCCCTCGTTTAATTTCCCAGAACATTTTCGACGGCACGTAACATTGATGTTTTTGCTGTTTTGTGTAAGCTAATGTATGTGTAATGCCCAGTATTTCCTTTTCTGAAGTCAATTATTTTCTCAAAGTGCCACTGAGAACACATGTTCATTTCTCTAGTTTGGGAATGCTAATTATTTCAACAGCCTTTACTTTAATCTGTGACTCGAGAATTCATTCAGCTCTAAATGTATAATCATTACATTGTGCTAAATGTTATGCTAAACAAATGAAAATCACCCAAAAAGGTTTTTTAAATGTGTTGGATGTTGGTCTAATAAATGGAGAAGAGGCACAAAGTTTTAAAGTAAAGCACACAAGCTCTTGTACATGTTAATATAACTGTTGGTCATCATCCAGTAGCTGGTGAGGGAGATGATGTTTTAGAGTGTAACAATGTAGAATGAGGTCAAAGGATTCACAACAACTGTGTCAGGACACAACAAGAGCAAGGTCCATCTTCTACACACTCAGTGGTGGATATGTTGTCTTGTTCCCATTGATTAAACCCCACTGAGAGGCCCAGTAAAGCAAAGTCTAATTATATAGCTAATTAAGTGCAGGCCCGCAGGTGGCTCAGGGCAACAAGGGGTAGATATTTTAGGTCGATGATTTGTCACCATTCGAAAAATCCAATGACTTGTTTGTGTTGTTGTTGCGAATGTAAATCTGGGTAGACGACACTAAATAAAGAGTGTGTTGTCATTCACTTCCTGTCCTAGTTGTGGTCCTCGAGAGCTATGTACACAAAGTAATCAATTGGTCAACTAGCTATTCATGCTGTACCTTACAGAGCAAGTTCACAGTTCTGTATTTTTTATTGGTTCCTCTTTAAATTATTAGTGTCTTCAATTTTGAAGCAGATTGAATTTTAGAAATTTTTAAATTTCAAATTGAGTCCATTTATGTCATGAAATTATTTTTATGCCATAAATATGTAAGTTAAATATCATGCCATGAGTTGCTATTATTTTTTTTTTTACATTCCAGATATTCAAATTAAGCAGTAACAAATAGAAATGTGCACTGAAAGGTTTAATTACACAGTTACGATCACATTTTTGAATTATTGTTGTTTGTTTCTCTCCACCAGTATTTTCTTTAGTCATACTGTATTATACTCATGTCGAGGGCCAGCTTCTCTCAAAAAAAAAAATTCAATTACCTGGTAACCTTGTTAACATGGCTTTTTGAGTTTTGTGCCTCTCTGGATAATCCACAGAGAAATTCAGCTTGGCGTCTATTGTCTAATCTCTGTACCATCTGTCTTTATTTGTTTCATGATTTTTCAATTGTCTTTGTTTGTCCTGTTTAACTGAAACAGAGCTGTTTACTCGTCACTGTTTTTCTGAATGTTTTGTCCATATTTGTGTCTGAAACTCAGATGTGCGTCTGTCCACATCGCAGAGTCTTCAACACGTTTTATATCATTTTGACCAACCAGGAAAAAAAATCACAAGCCAATTAAAAACTGGAAAATTGCACTAATTGTGATATAAAATATAATAATATATATAATATATATAATAATATAAAATAACTTTTTCATAATAAAAAAATCCTCTAAATGTGTTCATAAATTATAAATAAAATGCACTGTGATTACATCTCACTGTAATAAAAACTGCTAACAATGCTGTGGTGGGACAAAACACCAAACCAAACTTTAGCCCTTGGAAAGTCACATTGAACCTTATCTTAAATAAACTATGTTTTTTTCTTTTCCTATTTATCTGTTCTTTCTTTGCTATTTTCAGAAACCTTTGGTAAGTGTCTTGCAAAGCTCAGCAAACCAGCCCACTGTCCTTGAAGCACATGGCATATTTATACTACTGTCCAGAATGCATGATTTCGCTGCTCCTCCTCCACCCTTTCCCTCCAATTCCACATGTTCCCTATTTTTTCTTTCTGTATAGCCTTCATTTTTCTTTACCCTACTCCTCTTGGTTTCAACTATATATTCTTTCACCTCAATACTACAACTGGATTTATAGTAGAAAGACACAGAATGTGTTGAGGAAGCATCATGATTCACCTAGCAGCATATTTTCTTAGTTTTAAGCAGCAAGTCTTTTGAGGTAGCGTCATACTTCATGATAAAGGTAACATGCATGGTAGGTCGTATAAACAGTCCAATTTGGACCCTGTCCACATTATTTTAGTACATGTATCCATGGGATTCCAAGATTACCTCAGAAGTAACGGTATATGAAGTTACCTTTAAGATTTATCCCATTTACAGCAAGACAAGAGGCCCGAAGTAAATAACTGGAATCCAACGCAGTCATTTCTTTGCAGCCTGAAGCATTTCTGGACTTCTTAAAGGGATATATAGCAGGCACGTTTCTCCAGCAATGCACATTGCTTACTGATTTATCTAACCTGTTTTACTTGAACCTCTGTGCTTACAATAAAGCATTGCTTCAAAAGCATTCCTTGAAGGTGCAGCGAGTACTGTCAGGGGCTTGAATTCTTAAACATCAGTGCAGGACTTCTGGAATGCATATTCCAACCCTAACTCGTGCTGCGTAAACCCTCTGGTCTTGGCCAAATATTTTGTCAGGAGAGCATTCTTCTTCTCTTGCCAGATTGGCCCTCTGCTTCACTACTTAACAAATGTCTTGCTCAGACTTTATTGCCCAGACTAGAGGCCAACTGATAGCCTCCTGACTTACGAAATATTTGCAAAAGATATACCCAGTCACTTCAAGCTGGATGTGTTTTACAGAAATTTCAAACTATACGTGCAAAAAGGAGGGGAGACAAGGAAATTACTTTCCCTTTTTTCAGTACCATAGCTCTTATAAGGTTATGTTAGCTTTGGGGGCTTGCTTTTATTCTATAGCTCTTCTGCTGGAAAGCTCAGCAGTCAGACAGGATTTATGGTGATTTATGGCTTGAGCCCCCTAGGCTGCCATCTTCTCATCCCCTTAGCTCTTCTAGTAGCCATCTTTGGTCCCTAATAACTTTTTCTTTTTTGCATTTATAAATGCACTTAAGAAATCCCCAAAACAGAAAACATGTGACAGCCTCAGCCTCCCCTCCAACTTCTTCTGATGTGCTGATCACTGTTGACAGTTTCTGGGGCCTCTCTGTTTGCATCAGGCACACTCTCAAGCCTTGGGGGGGGTAACTCTGGTGGGCCCTCTGCCATAAACGGTGGTTAAAGGGGAAAAGGAAGGGGAGAGAAGCAGGAGAAAGGAGACCATGGAAAGTGAGCCAAAGTCCATCATTTCAAAAACTTTCCCAGCTTCCAGCTTCTGCAAAGAATCTATATTTCCTTCTATTTGGCCTTCATCTTTAAATCATGAAATGTGAATGTTGATTTAAAGTGTTTGCGCTCCCAAAAAAAGGAAAAGATACGGAAAGACGGAAATAGCATCACCACTTGGATGTATTACCGTTGTTTCCAACATAGCTGATTAGCTGACAGACTGGTTCCTTATGTTCCAGTCCCTGCTTTGCTGTCAGAAGCGATATTTGCATCAGGGATTCCAGAGGACCTCCTACAGAGGTGTGTAGGGAGCTTGACATTTCTTCTTATCTTCCTATGTCTCCAGACCTCAGGCCCTCCCTAGCCTTGTCAGCCAGAACAGATTAACTGCGGGGCACAATGACAGTAAGAGGATGGGCAAAAGTGTTCTAAAGATTTATGTCCTTCCTATAATAAAGGCTCAAAATCAGGACCGTGACATTAGATGGCACTTTTAAGCATATATTGAGCTTAGTTAGAGTTGCATGTCACAGGTAAACACTCAAATCCAGTGTCATCAAAGCTGCTGTGAAGAGAGTGGCTCGAACCTCTTCAGGGGTCGTAACAACAGCTAGGTTTTCCCTCCGGCCTGCTGTGACACCACCAGGATCCGAGGCTAGTGTCTGTGGTGACGAGAAGGTCAGCCAGACGCCCTCTTGAGGGTGGCCAGACTCTGACACTCTGCCAATCACGCAACCCTATTTGCCCCCCCACACACAGATGTGTAACATCTCTGGCCAGAGACAATCTGGCCATCTGGTTACAGACTTTAATAATTTTTTAAAAAAATATTCAGAGGATTGTTTAACAAAACAGCTGGGGTGTTCTGTGGAAAAAAATAATGCCACATTTGATAATATGAGGAAGACAGCGGCATGTTGAGATATATTTAGGTCATTGTCACCCTAATCTGATCAACCCCTGGCTGACCAAAGCTTAGATGGGAAGCTTATGGCCATTAGGTTGCATGCCCGTAATACAGGTGGATTTGCCGTTGTAATTGAATATTGGCTGGCCTTGTGGACCCAGCCTGCCTGGCCTTCCTCAACAAAGTTTTAGATTTTCATTCTCATGCCTTTTTATATTCACAAATTAGAAATTGCAAACCACTACAAACCAAAGAATCGCATTTGTTTTCACTCTGTGTGTATTTGTTTCTCCTTTATCCACCATCCTCCTCATTTAACTTATTGTTTTCATCTCCTTCTCAGTTTTTTGTCACACTGGCCTTCATAAGATCCTCCCCTTTTTAAACCTGCTTTATTAACCTTAACCTTACTCTAACCTTAACCTAACTTTGACCTTAACCTCTAACCTTCAACTAGTAACCTCTTAACTCCCGACTAAAATCCATCTGAGCTAAAGCAAGATAAACCAGCTTCCTGCAGCCTCTAATCAAACTCTAACTTTATAACAACGTAACCTTCCCAGCCCCATTGTCCTTTGTCTTGTGATCACCTATATTTATATGGTCTCCAGAGTTATTGCAGAAATGAATAAATTGTCACTTTGATTTTGCCTGGTTTTTCAATGACTCTTAAGTAATCACCGTGGCACAGTAACACTGTTTGTGGCTACAAAACGTTGAGTCTTTACAGACTAGGCAAATCTAGAACATAAGAGATACCCTGATTTTCCACTTTAATCACAATGTGAATAAATGTAGCAATAAATTAAACTCCAGTACAGTAAATGTCAACAAATGCTTATGTTAAAAACATAAATGTAAACTTTTTGATGTAGAAATATATAACATAGTCCAATAGAGCAAAAAGGAGCATTGTAAACCAGGCAGAACTTCAAACTCAGTGACTGAATCCTAATTGCTGGTATCACGAAAGATGGCACAAAAATGTAATAATCTGACCGGAAGGTGCTGAACATTTTCACACCCCTCGTTGCACTGTAAAAAGTATGGAAAATGCAGGGCTGAGATTATATTTTTTAAAAATCCAACAGATTTATAAAACTATGTGTGCATTTCAAAATCAACAGAAACAGTTGCAGTTTCACTGCAGTTTCAATGTCAGCTTAATAAAGCTATAAATATGCCTGATTCTGTTTTATATGCCTTAGTCATTGTGCAGCCCCACAACCATCACTTTGTAATCAAGCTTCTTCCACTACTCATTAGACCTGTCAGTAACAGTGGTGGGAAAAACAAGGTGTAGTTAAACAGACCCTCATGATGTCAACATATAACAGTCCAAAAGCAGAACAAGTGTCCGTAACACTGCCGAGGAAAAATGTCACACTCGGGAAAATATCATCAAAACTTACTTAAACAGATCCTCTGTATTTTCTCTGGGCAGTATGCATGACTGCATGCCTATACATGGGCCAAACCTCAAATGTTAGGCTCAGTGGATAGTGAGAACCCTTGATCCTTAGCCCTGTGGGTGCAGGCAGTCTATGCCAAGTAGGAATAACCAAGGGCACATTGTTGCCATGAGTCATCCTTTGATTTTAAAAATGCAGACTAAGAGAGAAGCAATACTGCGGATACACACACAAAAGCAAACAAACTCTAAAACTGGGTGAAAGAGAGAAAATTAATAGAGCCGCTAAAGCAAGAAAACAAAAAGGAATTATAAAAAACAGTCAAGAGTGGAAGGACAGTTTAATTTGAATTTGAAGGGGTTTAAGTTAAGCTGGCTCCCCTTCCCACACCCAAAGCTGTGCTTGTAAGGGAAGCATTTTACAATGCAACATTTCAAACTACACTTAAAAAGCCCACCGGCCAGTGACTGGATAAGCTCAATATTTTATTGTCCCTAATGGGACATTTGGCTTGCAGTCAGCCACGTAACACAATACAGCCTCACAATAAACAAAGATAGAGAAACATACAACTCGCAGTGAAATGAAACAATTGGAAAAAGCAGGGAGATTGAATAACTGGGGATATGGGATGAAACTTGAGGTAAAGAGCCTATCTGTCACAGTTAAACAGGTTTATGACTTGTAGGATAAATAAGAACTTCAGCCTGTGTGATTTAACTTGCGGTTGCCTGAAGGCACAACCTGAAATTCTTGCTCAGTGGAGATTCTTCCTCCGCTTTTAACATGTTAAGGTTCAACGCTAATGTGGATGCTCAGTACTGAATAGTTGCAGTTTTTACGGACACCTTGTTCAAGTTCAGCTGGCTGGAAAAACGCCGCAGGAGCATAACTTGTCAACCTAAGAAACCAAACCTCTCGTGCTTGCCTCATCACCCTAAGTTACAGCCACGACCGAAGGCCAAAAAGACAGCAGTAGGTTAGCGCGATAAAACTCCCCATTGTTTTGTGATACCGGCAGTTAGATTGTTCTTTTTCTTTTAGCCCCCTTATATGTACAAGATTACCCAATGGTTTAATCGCCAAGTTTGAGTGACCCATCTAACCCAAACACCTCCTCTAACTATTACTAATATTAACCTTGAACTTCACTGATGTTGTGTCTTCATTTTTGTGTCTCCTCCAGTGGGTACCCCGATTCGAGGTAAGATGCTTAACCATCACGATAAAAACAGGAGAAAAATAAAAGACTTTAACTGACACATAATCAAATATAACCACTTCTAATTCCGCCAAAGTGAATAAATATGGGAAATAATCAGGGCTTTCCTGGTTTTAAAAAAATTACAACCTTTTTCTCTTCCCGCTTTCATTAAGACCCCATTTGTGTTCGTGTTCTGTGTCACATTCGTCATGTATGTTTGATACTCCCATGTTTAATGTCAACACTGATGTGCTATTCTTCCACCTGTGTGTGTGTGTCAGTGTGTTCTGTGTTTGTATCTTCCTGTTAATATTAAAAATCAGGAAACTTTAGATTAAAAGAGCAAACAGATGAATGGTGAGGCCTGTGAGCTCTGCTAGGAGTTGTGTTGGTTTTCCTTTAGTTTTTTTTTACCTCTGACAATAAAGTTTTAGGTCATCAACAAGTTCATGGCAGAATGGTTGTTAAAAACAGTTTTTTCCTCCAGCCCTGCTTTGATATCCTCCTCATTTGTGCATAAACCGCAAGGACGCTAACCTCATCTTATATTTGAATGCACCTCCCTGAAAAAGATAAGATATCAGGGGCAGCAAAAGTTACAAAAGTTGCTTTAATTCCCTCATGTTACTCTACGGGATATAAACCTATAACTGCAAATTTAGGAAGGCTGCTGAGAAAATGCCAGCATGGGCATCCTTTTAACATACAAAAGAACTGCTTTTATAACTTCAGAGGATGAATAGACGAATGGAAGGATATCAAGGTAAGAATGGAAGGACACAGGTGTGAAGCGGTGTGACTCCTGTGAATTACACAAAGGCTTTGTTCAAATAATTCTTCTTCTCCCCTCATTTTTTTCCCCCGGACATTTTAACTTTCCTTTGTAATTATCTATCCCACTTTATAACTGAAACATTCAGTCTCGGTTGATTCAGCGGGGTTGTTGTTAAACGCTTTTGTTCCGCAGGCTGAGCAGGTGAGTGAATATCTCAGTTTCCCATGGTTGTCCATGTAAGCAAGGGGATGAATTCAGCTCGTGTTTTTGATTTATATATTTATTAATTCCCCTGAGTTCCCTGATGAAGATAAGTGGAAGAGCATGGATGGATGTATGGATGGATTTAGATGTTATGATAAATAAGGGGAAAACCCCACAGTAGGTCCAGAGGTCCTCCTTCCTCAATCGTTTCACACAACCAGTGCATGGAAATATTTTAAACGGTACCATGTTGTCACACATATTAAGGCACATCACAAGAGTCGGCAGTCCAACACAGCCAATCCAAGCCCTCCCTGCATCTTCTCGGTTAATTAAGAAGGCCTCATAAATCATATTGTGACAAATGTAACTTGTGAACTCTGCATTTGCATAATGACTTAAGCAGCTTGAAAAAGACGATTTTTCACCCATTGCCAATACTGACCTGCTGTCAGGAGTGTATGCCGCATATGTAATTACAAAACAAATTGGGTAGGAGTTGGAGGTGGACTAAAATTATAATAGAAGACTGAGGCGTTTGAGAATGACATGTTCATATGGACCTATGAACATGCAGGTGTTCTGTGTACAGATCTTTAGGGAAAGCATTGTTGTCTCACTGCCGAGTCGTTTCTATTTCACTCTGTGATAGAGTTGATTCCCATAATTTACAATTTCAATTAATTTTAGTTCCATACGAAGCCGTGCAGGTGCCAGCCTTGAGGTAAGCGATCGCTGTATAGGTAGCTCTACTCCCTACCTGCTTCATTACTAATTTCATGGGAGCGTTACAAGCCACCAGATGGGCTCTGACAACAGTGGCATCACACGTGGAGCCTCATGCTGGTGCGATCACAGCATAATGACCTTGGGGTGGTGGCAGAGCGTTGCGGAGTGACAGCCAGGACACAGACAGAGGGGAGAGACAGTGAGAAAATGGCAAGTCCAGACTTGGCTGCCATGTAGCGCTACTGGCTTCTTCATTTATGCAGTTATTAAAGCTGCGGGTACACAGCTGAAGTCTGTAACTTCCAGCGTGTTGTCATTTATAGCTGCAAACAGAATTGATGTCCCATAACTCAGCAGTTCTTTGTTAATTGTGCAGTTCTGTTTTCTGAAACAGCTGTTACAAAACTTAAATTAACCAGCAGTTTGTGAAAATGAAAAACAAAATTTTGGTTTGCTTTGGTTTGGTTTTTTTTGCTTTATACACCTCAGCCGCAAAAGGTTGATGGGGAATTATCGTCACCCTGCCAAGCGGGCAGACGGGTGGCCAGGCGAATAGTGTGGACACCCAAGGTTGTGAATGTGATAACAATAGGTACAGCTACTAAAAATCTCAAAAGATTTTGAACTCAGGGTCAGGTCAGAGGACAGCATTTCTGAAAAGCACCTAGGTTTTTCACATTTAAACCATAGGTGCATCTACTTGAGGGGTAGCACTGGCTACCCTTAGAATTTTTTTTTCAGGTGTGGCCTGAATACCTTTCTCAGTTATTAAACACATGTCTTTATGTGTTTGCACTTTTATATGGTAAGCATACAACATTTGAAAAAGCTGTCAGTAGAAACTGAGGCATTAAAGTTTCATTGGGATTGCAGTCTGCACTCTTCTGTGCATTCAGATGAGTTTAATGCATGTACTAGTGAGGTTATTGTGTTTGTGTGCCCGTTCATACAGTAAGGTGCTAATTTGGGGTGTTAGTGAGAGCTGGCCAGCCGTTTTGTTCACCGCCTAAACAAATCTATCAAATCCTGCTGGAGCACACTAATTGAATTACACAAATGGGACTTTGGGGGGGGGCACACATGGCAAAGCTGCTACAAAGCAGCGACTGGGGTGGGAAGACCACAGCTTTAGGCACTTTCTGAAATTAATCAACCATGCTGGCTCCTCCTCGCCCTCCTTTTATCCCCTCATCTGTCTTTTTGTTTTTCTATGCCTGTCTGTCTTTTTAACTCTTCCTCCCACCCTTCTTTTATTTTTATGGGGTTTTTGGGGGCTCTTTTTTTCACTTCACCTCTCATAAAGGAGAATTTTGTTCCACTCATTTTTCTCTTTTTTTCCACATCTCAGTTTGTGATTTTTTTTTTCCACCCAGGCTTCATATTTTTTACCATCAGACCTTGCTATTTGGTATGTTCTGTGCTTGTTAGCTACAAAAAAGGACAATGAAGTCTGTGAAACATCTGAATGGTCCCTGTCTGTGAATAAGATAGCTCTCTAACCTTGACTTCTAGACAAATCTAGTCTGCTTGTAAGTTATCGTTCTAAAATTATCAAAATTGGCATAAACTGAATAGGACAGCAAAATATATCTGCTTTTAACAGTTTCTCAGCAAGAGTGTTTGTCCCTGAATCAAAAACATGTGTTTGTTGAACCTCGTCTAGGCAGTCTTCTTTGTTATCGCACCTTGGCACCTCAGTCCTCTTCTTCAGGTCAGCCTGCAGCATGTGGCACTTTTAACCAGGGCAGCCGTCACAGCTGGGACGAATGCTCCATTACAGCCTTCTTTATCAAATGAATGAAGGCAGTAAACTTGCTGCAAGACAGTCAGAGTGAGCAGCAGGGGAGGTTGGAGGTTGTGGGTCTTTGTGGTCACTCAGACTTAGAAGATCGATCAACCTGGATAACTGATGTCATTAGGAGACTTAGCCACTTTTTTCTCCTTAATGCTGACCTTAATAGTGTGCCATGCATTAATCACTGAGTAACAGACAGAAGGGTATCTTTTACTGCTCTGACCTAGTAAAACATGAATTATAACTCAGCAGAGGCAGTTTACTAATGATTATTGTAGCTGTTGAGCGGACAGCCGGAGCTCTGATCCATTCCCAGTACATCTCACATAGTGTCCTTGAAAAGTCAAGTGTCCTTTTTAAATGTCCTTAAATTAGAGAGCAAAGAAATAAAGTGGTAACCACACAGTAGTTCTGTATTATGCTGGGCTGGAGTTAAAGTTGTACACTTACAATATCTATTTATTTATCTATTGCTATGAAAAGTGGCATCACTCAAATGGTTAATCTGTATTCAGGACAGGACAAAACATTAAAAACAACATTTTTTTCTGTAGTAACTGGAACCGCAGCAGTGATAAACCTGCAAAAACTGATTTTGTAACTGGAGTAAAGTACGGTTTTTGTTTGTAGATAATATATAAAGTAAAAGTACCCATGGTTTTTGTTCATGCAGACATGATTAGGAGCAGATTAGCACTAACACGAGTATTTTCTTTTCTGAAAAAAACCCTGTGATCTGTGTAGTTACAGCAGTTTTTATTTGTGATAAGGATTAATAGCTGGAGACAAGGAAGCCGTGGCATTAAGACCCCATATAGGATAAATTTAATAAGCATGTGAGCAACACTATAAATTGTTGTGTTTATCAGTAAACACCAAGTGTTTGAACAGACCCGGTGCGTGTTTTTCTTTGTGTTATGTTTGCGAAAGATAATTTTCAGCATTTATTTCATTTCTTGTGCCACTGGCCACTCGCACAACAGGCTGGCAGAGCAGACAGAGCGCATTATGCAAAACACAGAGCGCAGCCATTTAAAGAAACAACACACAAAAAGAGAAGTGATAGGAACAAAAAGACACGTGGGTCTTGGTTTCTTGTGTGCACACATGCATGCTGCAGCTCCAGATAGGTCATCAAAAACATTTGTTGTCTTTATACCTTAATATTATCTGGTCTTAGACTGCCTGCCTTGTCACTGGCCATTGCAAAAAAGTAATATTATTATTTTTTGCTTCCTCTTTATGTGGTGAGATAATTTAAATGAACTAAATCATTTACAAAAGAGCAAGCCATAGCTCAAGGAAAATGTATAGCAAAACGAACACGAAAAACTGTATTTAGCCCCGATTTTCAAAAGGCAAAGTCACAGAGTCAAACGGGGTTTTTAGTGTTTTCTTCCTAGAATTTTTAAGAAATACATTTTCTCAGAATCATGGGAGGCCTGGAGGCTATCCCAGCTGTAATAGAGCAAGTTATGACAACTTTAAGACAGAAGCTAATAAATAGTGTATATTCCCCCTTCTCTGACATTGTCCCTGTACATTTTTTTTTCTTTCGCTTCCTTTCCTTCATTTGCTTCTCTGCTTTCAAGCATCTTGTGCTTGCCTTTCTCTCCTCCCGAACGTTTTCTCCCATGTTCTGCAACTAGAAAGACTCTTTTGTGTGTTCTTCAGAGCTTCATATTGAAATAATAGCTCGAATGTGTAATGAAGCCAGTAGGGGCTTGGAAACAATAGATAATCCTACCTAGCATGGTGTCTTGGAGCAAATGAAACTCCCCATCTTCTCTCAAAGTGTATTTTTTCTCTCTTTGCACTCCCCTCTTTGCCAGAAATTTGCAAACAACACCAAATGTTGTTAATAGTTGGCTCTCAGTGCATCATTGAGATATCGGTGGTCATATTTTGTTTACTGTCAAATTACACGTGATAGATTGATATTTATTTTTTACTAGAGGAAAATGATCAGTAGCCGCCGACAGCACGTGACATAGAACATCACTTGTTATTCAACCGTGTGGTAACAGTTAACAACGAGGGGCTTCCAGCGATTTTATAATTCAGCGCAGTGAGTGAGGGTGACAAGCCGCTGGCAGAGCTTTCTGGAAGCGTCCACCTGGAGTTGAACTTCACACAGTCCTTACTTTGTGGTCTCCCTTGTGCCGAGGCACTCAGCTTCTGAGCACATTCCAACCCACCTGCCACCGTGCTGGCATTTGCTGTTCCAAGTGCACATCAAACAAATCCAAATCAGATGCTTGCATAAACCCACGGCGAAGACTGTGCCACCTGCACTCTGCAGGTAGATTTTTTTCATTTGGTTCACGAGCTGTGTGCCAGGAACAGTTTCCCCGTGAGGGATGAGGATGATCTGAGTTTTAGATTGAAATGAAGAGATGCTAAAAAGAAAAAACAAAAAATAGAGCGCCATAGATTGCTGTGGCTTCGTGTCTTTATTATTGTTTTGAAAAGCAAAAACTGACCCAAAGGTATAAAATAGTCATGAGGGAAAGTGAGTTATCTTTATAATTAAGCAGGATCAATGATCTCATTTGTGGCACAGCTGAAGCACCTTATTAGGCCAACGTTCCAGAATAGTAGCCTTGTTCAACACTGTGTTCAATCTACTTTGCTGATGTGATGGAGTAGGTTATGCTATATTACAAAGCATCCAGGGAAGCTGCTGGCATATTGATGCTTCCTGGCTAAACGTTAACGAGCAATGGTGCTGTGTTTGTCAGAGAGGCCTCGGCTGCAATCTGTCTGCTGAGCCAGCCAGAAGCCCTAATGATATCATCAGGAAGTGCCGTCAACAGCGCTCTAATGAGGAATGATCTGACGCCTGTTGTTTCACCTCCCTCCTTTGTCCCTTGCACCTTTTTCTTCAGTGTCGCCAGGCATTTCGGTTTACTGTATTTGCGCATAGTATATAAGAAGCACTGCCGGTGAGAAATAATGTCTGAAAGTAGCTCAAAGGCGTCTGTTTTCGAACGCATAATAATGACAATAAGCGAGAAAAGAATGGGGGTCAAAGAAAGTGGCACACAAAATAGAGTAAATGTATAAGCGATTAAAATGCTTAGGAATTCAAATAACTGAACAGCAATATTAAAACCTGAATATTAATAATAATAATGCTTTATTGTATGTATTCATTTGCAAGGTTGTTTGAGCATTTGTCACAATTTTGATGAGTAGTTATCACATGATAGCAGATGGGCTGGAACGCTGTGGATGTGTGGACATTTTCTCATAAACTCTCCCCCTGCACCAGCGCACACACGCACACACACACTAACACACACACTCTCCTCTGGTGAGCGTTATGCAAAGGGTGATTTACTAATCTCATGGGGTTTACAAGACCATCTCAACACCCTTTCTCCATTACCTTTCAGCATCCTTACATCATTACTTTATTGCACTTTCTTTGTAAGCGATCTCACATCTTACACGAGTTGCATAAACCAGCCTACTGTAGCTACAAATCCAGTGTGACTGATTCAGTCCACATTTTTATTCATTTATTTCCCCCCTTCTTTTTAATCTGTGGATGGCTGAGTCTGGAGTGGAAGCCAGTTTGTCATGCCAATCTGCATAAGCATTGCGGAGAGAAGCAGATCTTGACAAAGTGGTCCTGAGAAATTCAAGATACCCACCATTAAGAAGATTGTCTGACTTCTTCATGCACTGTCACAGACAGATTGACTAATCATTTCCTCTCTGCTTCCTGTCTCTCTGTCTTTTTCCTTCTTTTTTTCCCTGCCTCTTTCCCTCCCCGTCTCGTCTTTGTTCAATGTCGTCGTTTTCCAGGTGCCTTGCAGATCGAGAACAGCGAGGAGACGGACCAGGGGAAGTACGAGTGTGTGGCGTCTAACGTGGAAGGCGTGCGCTACTCGTCCCCTGCTAACCTTTATGTGCGAGGTAGGGAGCAACCCGGTCAAAGAATCAGGCCAAGAAAACAAAACAAAACAGGAAGAATAATAAAGAAATAAAACATCTACCCATTCTAACTAAAATAACTTGACAGTGCAGCTCAGCCATAAATGGCATTACTGTTGAGCTTAACAAATGATAACTGCTTCCATTCTAGCCTAGTTGTATTTGCACCAAATGTATTTTGCAAAATAGTATTACCCAAGTAGTGTCAATATTTTAGCACTGATCGTATTGCCTGCCCGTAAATGTAATTTCATATGCACTGAAACTTCCAGATGTAAAACTATAATTGACCAACTAATGTTCTTCTCTGTTATGATGTTATGCTCCATTTTTTCTTTTAATGCCCTCCCCTACTCACTCGGAAGGAAATGTGTAGCACAACAAGCCGTATGTCTTTACTTTATCGGTTGTAAGACACCTTTTACCTGTAACTGTGTGCCCGATCAAATGTTTCCCGCGCTGTCAAAGTTGGAACCCAAAAAGAGTCCGGAAGGACGTCTTTTTGATTAGTTTTTTACAGGTAAAGGAGCACAACGGTAAGTCTGTCTTGATTGAGTGGCGAGGTATTATCGCCCGCCAATCAAAACCTTAACCCCTCAGCCTTCTCTAGATTTGGAGGAGGAGAACTGAGTAGGCTGCTCTGTTTAAAAAGAAAAAAAAGATTATAAATAGTATACATCCTCTATTTCTTTGTCATGCTGTTCTGGAGCATAAATCCATAGTATTCCCATGTTTCTTCTTTGGTGTATTATCTATAAAGGCTTTTACAGTCAGTAGTAATTTTGGCTGGAATGTTCGAGCAAAGCGAAGATATAAAAAACGATCAGTCACAGGGAACATAGAGTTTCATAGGAAACAGACAATGAAGACAAAAGCGTACTCTCCACCACTAATGCTAAATGACAATGGATCCCTGTTGAGGGAGCTTTAATAAATTGAAGCAGATGCATTTTCGACATGGTTTATTTATACTGTGCATATTAAATAAAAATGCCTCCGTATCTACTCAGTTTGTTCCCTCTGCTGTGTACCAAATAACTTTGTTCCCAATAAATAATTCACTACTCTGACATTATAAAATGGGTCAGGGAGCTGCTTTTTCATTATTATTGCTATTATCATACCCTGTGAAGTAGCAGCATAGGAAAGGGAAAAATTCCACTGTGAAGAGCTGAAGGTAAAAAAAAAAGGGTTCATCAAGATTAGTTTCTGTTCTTGCCAGTGTTTATCCTGGAGGCGCATGCTGTCTCTTCTGTGATGCGGGCAATGTCAAGTAGCTATCCACCTTGCTAATACGTGGCATAGTAGGTGTTAAAAGGGTCATTGAAAATTCTAGTCAAGTACTCTACAGGCATCATTAAATACTGATGAATAATTATGGGAACACTTTGTTGACACAGCACTGGGATGTTCAGCAGCTCCTTTGGTCAAAACATATATATACATAAATATATATATTCCGTGATATCATTTCCAACAATTCATGCAGTCTCCATGAACACTGGCTCCATCAGCATGCCTTTAAAAGAGTACACAAGGGTCATAAATACTTAAGTACTTTCACGCTATGTAACACACTTGTTATGCTTTGATGGTGTCGACCTTTGTCTGTTTTCAGTTAACTTTTGTCAATCGATTCTTGATACTTGATGTTGACTATGTTTTGTTCACAAAGCAAAATGCACTTGAGATTAGCAGCTGCGGTAGGGACCAATTAAGAGCAGGAAATATATACATATATAAAAATCCTAAATTAAGACTGCAACCCGACTGAAGGCCCAACAACGGCGCTTCTGATTGGCTTCCAATGACATTTTTAGTGGGACTGCCTTAAACTGCAGCTGCTAATTTCATCCCAAACTGTGTCTTTTTTTTCTTCTTTTCAATCTCTCATTTGTTTTTTTTCTCCTTTTTTGTTTTCTCTTGATTTTGTTTCCTTCTCTAATAAAAGCAAGTACGGCCGCAGCAGGAGCTTCTCCTCGTGGCTATAAGAAGCTTATGAAATTCTGAATTATGAGAATGGAAAGCTTGATGTGACTCCAGTGGCGCCTCACTTCCTTTTTTTTTCTTACCAGGCGACAGTGCGGCCACTGGGGTGAATCTGATTGTTTTGGTTCAAGTTTATTTACGGGGGTGGGGCAGGCAAGTGTACTTTCAAGACGGGTTTCACTGATAGCGGGGAAAGGGAAAAGGAGTGGAAAAAAGATGAAAGAAAAGGGAAATGTAGCTGCAGCTAAACACCTTGAGGTGGCTTTTTTTACTCTCTCTGTGTTTCCCCTATTTTTCTCTTCTCCTCATGTCATTGTGTTCTGCATCAACCCCTTTACATCCCTCAGAGCTTCGAGAAGGTTGGTGTGTTTTTTCTTTTTTACTTTTTTTAACCCACGTTAACAAATAATAAATTCAACATGTTGGAAAGAAAAAATTTTAGCTGTATTTGCCTATTTCAGAGCTCAATTGATTACTAATTTGAAGAGATACTAATCAGCTGATCCAAACTGCTAAATGATTATGAAAGAAATTTTGATTTCTTTTCAAAGGAAGAAATGATGAAAGCAAACCCGATTAGCTCGGGTCTTGTTAATTTACTTTTATGTTTGCATTGTGGGGCCTTTTCTCGTTTTGCATCCTTTGGTATTGCTTCTGCATCTAAAGGCTTTCTTGCATGTGCTGAGTGGAAATGCAGCGTGTGGAAATAACAGAACCTGTTGCATGATGGGAGAATGTAACTGCGCTTGCATGCCTCTTCAAAAGCCGTTTGGCCGCAGTGCTCTTTTTGTTTCTGCATTCCTTTTTTTTCTTCAGTTCTCTTTCTTTGGTTTTGGTTGTATTTTCCCTAACACACCCCTTTTTTGGCTTACTTTTTTTTGTTTTTCCCTTTATTTCTTTATTTTTGTGTTGTGATTATAGTGTTGTGTTGTGCGTTTTCCTTTAGTTCCTTATCTATTGGTGACCCTTTTTTCTGTTAAAACATCAGTCTCTTTTTGTGGTTTATTTGTCGGTGAGATTTTTTTTTTTCAAAAATGACGCTGCTCTGCTTCTTGGGTCTCGGAGTGCAAATGCAAATGTCGAATGAAATAATAAGTGTGTATACAGCCAGTGTTCCTGTCATCTTGTTTATAGCGATCCATTACTGGAAAAATTAGACCTGATTGGGCCTGATTGGCTTCCATGGTGATTTTAGGCAGCCATTAAGGGATGCCATTTACAGTGTCGTGTGGATCAATAACAATATAATGAGTTTGACATCAAATTTGCTGTTGCTTAGCGGGTGCTCAGAGATACTTTTATTTTCAAATGGCGGCAGCTAGAATGTGATTGGTTTTGTTGAATGACTGCTGTTTGTGTTCCCTCGCAGTCATGACACTCCATCAAATTATAATCTATTATTCAAAAGCCCTCCTTCCTTTGTACACACACGCACACACACACTCCCTCTCTTTTCCTCATGGAATATTGATATCCAGGTTGATGAAGCTTCTAAAAAGCGCAAGAAAATGCGCCGTATTTGTATCTTTCATTCGTGTTATTGTCCTGGCACAAAAAGAAGAAAGTGCTAAATGAATTGGAGATCAATGCAAACGTTGTTTTCTGCTTAACTGTAGATTTGATTGGCTTTGTGCAATAATCAGATCTTTACTGAACTCCATGTCACGCAATTTTGGGAACTCGTATATACATGTGCATTTCATAGCTCCGCTAGTCTCGAGAATATTTGAGATAGATCTACTGGGTTTTTTAATGGAGCAATGGCTTTATGTTAGAGGTGTTACATGGAGTTAAGAGAGTCAGATCAGGAATACCATTCTTTCAACTAGAAGAGATGATGCACATGCTTAGTACCAGTCTCTTTTTGTGGTTTTCATGTGTATCAGTCACCAGGGACTAAACCAACATATCTGAAAGTCATAAAAAGGACTACTACCGCAACAGCAAACTCATTACCAGATTACATGCTTTGGTATCAGTCAGTCCCGAGTGTATATATGATTTTCTCAGGCAACACCATATACCAAATTATCCAGAAACGTTGTGTTTTATCTGTCTATCTACCAAATAGCCAGATTATTTTAATTAGCCTCTTTTGTTCCTCAAGATTTTATGGAAGTATGAACTACAGTAAGCCCAAATATCAAAAATAACCCCTCAAAGATTTAGAATTTAGTGGACGTAGGACGTAGGTTTCAATCCCAAGCTACAACACCTATTCCATTCCTCTGAAATCCACAAACCCATCCTTTGTCCTTAAGTAAAGTCATAGGACTAATATAGGCAATTATCTCAGATCTACTAGTTATTATGGACAAAGTGGAGGTTTTCCCTTCCATTACCTCTATTTACCAGTTGGCTGTCAAAGAGACTGTAGCAGTATGGTCTATGAAAGTGTTCACAAAGTATGCTAAAACCACGCAAAAGAAACAGAATAAACCTGGCTGTGTCTATATTAAGTCTGTAGCTCTTACTTGAAGTGCTAAAAATAACAGTGATGCAGAAAGACTGCGCTGTTCTGTACGCATGTGCATGTTTACCCTCCTACGGTGGTATCTGCTTGGTTTTGAATGTGCTTGCATGTCCTGCTATGCATTTGTGTGTACTGTTGGGAAAGAAAGCTAGATTACACCTTACGTTCTCACTGGCCAAAGCAAAAATCCTGCCATCTCTATTAGATGTTTGTCTCAAGGAGTCCCCCGAGATAATACCCACTTTAAAAAAAAACATGTTGTTTTCAGAAATCTTCATTTTTCAGACAAAGCAAATGTTGTATAGCCTCCTTATGCTATATATACAAACATACTTTCTTTCAAAATCAGAGTAATAACAATCATTGTAGGTATCTTTACAGTGAGGGGACATACTTGCAGTATCATTTGGCTGCTTGTCATCTACTTGTAGGACAATAGAAAAAGAGTGATTTGCTTTGAAATCCCCTCAATCTACTGCTTGCTATTATTAGATACCCATGCCACGATTCTTGTCAGGTTCCTTTAGGTAATAATTTCCAATCTGATGAGCCACCCATAGTGACTGTTTAGCACTGGCGCAGCCAAGGTATGTTAATACAGACCGACCCCTGTGGCTTATATGTAAATGCCCAAGGCCTCTCCCAGGCAAGTGTGACTAAAGGATCTCTATACTGCACCTGTGTCCTCAGGCAGCAAGAGGGTGTAATCTCAGCTTCAAGGTGACACTAAAGGCTGCACATTATTTTGGCTTCCCCCCTCATTTTGGGGCAGCAAAACCTGCCTCACCAAAATGGCCGATAATGTCCACCTTCTGACCTCTGTTTTTTGGCACAAATCCCTCCACAACACTGCCCACTATTAGAGTTAGTGCAGTACTCTGGCATTCTCTCTCGACTGCTTTTCACCTCGTCCAGTGTAAGGCTTCTTGTCTTTCTCTCCACATTGGGGCTTGAAACAAGATTAAATGTTGTTAGTACACTACGTTTGGTTTGTTTTCTCTTAATTCCAAATGGGCCGGCTGGGCTCCTGGTCTCTGTGAATGAGGAGCCTGTCCATGCAATTGGGATTCTTTCTGCTTTTTTTCCTATGTTTCAATACATTTGTGAGGTAGTGTAGGAGAAGGTTTCACACACATGCAGACAGCTTATCTAAGCTTATCATAGCATTACTCAGAACATTAAGTCGTATCGCACCAGGCCTGTGTCCGGTCAGTAATATCAGTGACCCATTTGCATGTGACATTGACATTTAGATGTAGAATTAATGTTGTGTTTTCCTTAAGATTTAAACATTTTTCTGCCAATCTGGAGTTAGAACTGAAGGGATCTTCAGCTCTTGATCTCCTGTAGTACCTATAGACCAAATTCACTTACCTGTCTTACACACGGTGACGCTGTTGACAGGTAGACTCACCTGCATATCATTTATCAGTAGATTGCCCAGTACCAGGAAGCCTTTAAGCAAGGATGTTTTTGCTTATTGGCTCCGTGAATTGAACATTACGTCACACACCAGCCACAGCCAAAAGTTACCAACATTTGGCAGGTGACTGGTGTTAGATGCCTGACACTATAGGTACTCAAAGGTAAACAAAGACATGTTTATGTGGGGAAACCTCATTCACTCAGCCACTACAGCTCCCGGTCCATTGGCTGACCTGAGCCCCAGGGAGAGAAGCGCTCCCTCAGACACTCTTTGATTGGAAGTTTCCCCCAGATAACCTTGTTTCCCCTATTGAGTTTTCACCATTATTTTGGATTGGAGACCAAAATTCAAGATAAAAAAAACAAGCAAAACAAACAAAAAAAACATCTAATAGTATTGATGCATACCTATTTGTTGAACACAGCTGCACTCTGGTACTGTCTATGCTGTTCGGACGTAGTTCTTTTTGTGGATTTGTTCAGTTTCATTTGTTTACTTTAATTTGATTTCGTGTGTGTGTGTGTCTGGAACAATGCTATATTTGGGAATGGATGGCATGCTTGGACGGGCTTGGGTGACATTTTTTTCGATTGTATTGGTTATCTGGTGTCTGCCCAAATGGATGGGGGCGCACCTGTACATGTCACTCATGCCGTAGCCACACCCATGCATGTCCGTGTGAGGAATGGGCTGCCCTTTCACCTTTGTTGTTCAGTTAGGACATTTTTGAAAAATAAACGCAGATATATTTTTTTTTCCTTTTATCCAATTCAACATGTTTTTCGAATAATCTACCCCACTGACTTTTTTGAGTCTGTCATTTAAAAAACAAAGTGTATCTCAACTGGATCAGGGTAGAACAGGCTTTTATAGAGCCACAGTTGCTTCTAATTAAAAAAATTTTGTTCAATTGTAAAAATTCAGAGATTTGATATTTTTAAGAACAGACCTTTGTGGTCTATTTTTACCGTTGATAATTTTGTGCTCCACAAGAGAGCTTTTTTTTTTCTTTTTCCTTTTTCTCAAAAATCAGTAATTACATTTTTGCCCTCAAGGTTAGGTCTTGTCTTGGTTGTAGAGTTGTGGCCGGTCACAATAAACTATTGTTAGGATGTACACAGAATATCTCAGATGACAGAAAACACAACACGGGATGCAGAAGGTTCATAGTCTGCAACTGGAAGGACTGTCCAAAGTGTTTGTTACATGAGAGCAAGATGCATTGGTTTCTAAGACTGCTACATGTTAGAGATCATGTAAGCTCCCAGGTAAAAATCCCCATAGTGTGTGTAGGTGATATTTGTGCCTTACTTTGTTGGAAAAGTTCAACTGTCTCATGCAACGATCATATGAATCCCATTTGGATCGACACGGTGTGCTTTTGGAATGCTACCTATCCTTGACGCCACTCTCAGTCTCCCCCCTCCCAAATCTCCCCCTCAGTCTCTGCGTACCACCTCCACACACATCACACCTACCCATCCCAAGACTTCCGAAGTCACATTTGCATTGTTGTGCAAAGTTTAAGGTGGGGAGAGGGGGACGTGAAGTTGAGTCTTGATTTTAAGCCCCAGTGTGTGAGACTTCTAAACCCACTTTCAGTCATTATTTTTCTTTTTTTTTTTCTTTTTTTTCCAGAATCACAGTTTACTTATTCTATCCCCACTTATATCCTCCTCCTCCTTCCCCCTTTCTCCAAGAACCCCAAACCCCTCCTCTTCCCCTTTGCGTATTGTATAATTTGTCTGCGTGCCCATACTCTGCGTCACTGTATGTCTGCCCGTCTCCCCCTGTCTGTCTTGTCTACTGTCTTGCTGCTTGGGTCTGTTTGGTTCTGCCTTGTGTTTGTCTCTCGTCCCTGTCTTTTCCGTCTTGTCTATCTCTGAAGTCATCTCTTCCATTTAGTTCATAATTTTTTTCCTTCTATGCCTTTTTTTTTACTTTCCTTCTGTCTCTTTAACCTCTCCATCCCAACAGACATCTTGACTTAGATGTAGATATTGTTAAAGTTCATACATAGAAATTATAGAACCCTGTAACAGTCTGTGCCTTTTTTTGTTTAAATTAAACCAAAGTTTTTGTTCAGATAAATACAAAGGAATTGTGCATGCTATAATTAGAGCAGTGCTTCAGCTATTGTCACCCACCCTAGATTAAGATAGGAAAGGAAAACCCAACATTTTATCAGTTTACAACAACTGTGTGCTAATTTGTGTTAGCATTAAGCTAGCCATCCTCTTGCATGTTACTATCTCCTATCAAGTGTTTGCTGGGATGCCTCTCATAAACATGGTGTCTTTTGCTAAATCATGCTCTTTCACTCTCCAACTTTTGCATACTCTGCACAATCATTCCTATACCAATGCAAAAAACAAACAAAAAAACTGCACACATACTATATCTATATATACACATGCAAGTACACAGTACCGTTTACACCTTTCCGTGCACTTTAGGCTCATTATCAACCTCCTTCCACTCAGATCTCCAGTCCTATCCATGAGTTTTGAGGTTCTCCCTGTTTTTCTCTCTTAGCTTTCATTCTGTCCTAATTCAGTTACCTCTGTTTCTCCTTTTACCTCTTCTCTGTCTTATCCCCTGGATTTCTGCTCCCTGTTGATCCAGTTCTGTTTCCTTTCTTCAACACTCTGTGATAGTCGACTCTCTGGCTACAATTATTATAATTCTTTTTCTGTGTATTTCTAGGCACACAACTTGTTCCTCAATACTTATTTTGTGTTAACTGGGACTGCGATGTGACAATGTGCCACCATCACATTTTGTCACATTAGCTAAAGAGAAACAAAGTTTACACAGCACTGAAGCGGGTTATTCCCTTCCCCCCCTTTTACCCTCCTCCAACCTTCCCTCTATTTTTCTTCCTCTGTCACTCTTTGCTACTCTGTTGCCTTTCTTTCTATACTTCCCTCAGATGTCAAATCCTCTATCTTGTACTTCTACTTTCCTCTCCAATCGTCTTTTGTCTGGGCATGCTAGCGACCCTTCAGTTATATTCCTCTATGCATTTTATCTCAATTTTTATATCTGATTTTGTTATCATTTACTCCTTAATTTACCTCGATCTATTTATGCATGCTGTCTGTGAAACTGATAGCTGCATCTATCAATGGAACCGTGTCAGATCTTAATAAGGCTTTGTCCAGTGGATCTACCCTAAACCACAAAAATCTGATTAAAGTTTCTCATCTTTAAGCTAACCAGGAAGTAGAGGCAGGTGTCAAGTGGCAAACATATGCTAGAATGTGTTTAGTGACCTCATGGAGATGGTCAATAGTCAGTAACCCTACACTTCCTGTGCTGTGGGAGAGGCCTGTAATGGCTAACTTCTTGTTTGGCATGAGTGCCTGATAGGACAGGAAGTTCCAGGTTGCCATGTTGGTCTTATGTGATAACATTATCACATGGCCTTTACTACACACTCTCATACTTCGGGGATAGTTTACGCTGTAGTTGTATATTTGTCAGAAGTTCAGTCCCAAAGATGAGAAACTCGTAATAGATTTTTGTGTCTTTAATTGTGCTGTGATGGGTCAAATATTGGTCAATGGAACCTTGTTGCTATGAATCGTTGCTTAATTGTTAATCTATATTGTTGTTGAAGCAATTCTGTTAGTTTAGTTCCTTCTCATTATTTGTATTTTTTTTGTTTATGCTTTAAAAAGTCTAGTTTTATTTTGTGTTTCAGTTCACATTTACCATGTTGAACCTTTTGTGTTAAGTATTTTCTGGAGAAAGGTCCATTTTCATCGGCCTCTCTTGTTACCTCTCTCTCTCTCTCTTTCTCTCTCTCTCTTTTTTGACGCCCTTGCCCTCTGTTGTCATCCTCTCCCCCTTCCTCATGCCTTCTCCCAGTCCGGCGGGTGCCTCCTCGCTTCTCCATTCCACCAGCAAGTCAGGAAATCATGCCCGGTGGTAGCGTCAACATAACGTGCGTGGCAGTGGGGTCGCCCATGCCTTATGTCAAATGGATGCTGAACGCTGAGGATTTGACGCCAGAGGATGAGATGCCAGTGGGTAGAAACGTTCTTGAACTGAGCAACGTTCGTGAGTCAGCCAACTACACCTGTGTCGCCATGAGCAGCCTTGGGATTATTGAATCTATGGCACAGATCACTGTCAAATGTAAGAGAAAACTGTGCTTGTGAAGACCGGTGCCAATGACCTAGATAGACTTCATAAGTTTAGTTAACATAGACTACCTATTGACATTATGTTCAGTTAAGTTTTAAACATACAGAAAATTGCTGACTTGCCAAAATATTCCTGTCTCTGGAAAAAATGCCCAAGCCTCAAGTGTGTTTTTTATTCAAAGTTAAGTTTTTTTTTTAACTGCTTTAATTTCTGTTTTTTTTTTTTTTTTTACCATAACAGCTCTCCCAAAGCCCCCAGGTACCCCCGTAGTTACGGAGACCACTGCCACCAGTGTGACCATCACCTGGGACTCAGGAAACCCAGATCCAGTGACATACTATATCATCCAATATAGGGCCAAGTCTCCAGACAGCAAATATGAAACTATGGACGACATCACCACTACACGTTACAGCATTGGCGGCCTTTATCCCAACACAGAGTATGAAATCCGTGTCTCAGCTGTCAACACAATTGGCCAGGGTCCTCCTAGTGAGCCGGTAGAAACTCGGACTGGTGAACAAGCCCCGGCCAGTCCACCAAGAAACATTAAGGCCCAGATTCTTCCCCAAAATACCATGATGGTTCAGTGGGAAGAGCCAGAGGAGCCCAATGGGCAGATTAAGGGCTACCGTGTTTATTACACCATGGATAACTCCCAGCCCATGAGCCTCTGGCAGATCCATAATGTCCAGGACAGCCTCATCACCACTATCCAGAGCCTAGTTCCTCAAGAGACCTACACAATCAAAGTTTTAGCATTCACCTCTGTAGGGGATGGACCTTTTTCAGAACCCATCCATGTCAAAGTACTGCAAGGAGGTAAGGACTCTATACCGACTGAATTTTCCTAACTGGGTCAGCTCGGCTGCTGGTGTTGAAACTATGTATGATGAGCATCTGTTCAGTGTTCAGAAAATGTTGAAAGCACATTGTTAGGTAACTTTAAAGTAAGTCATACAGAAATTCTTCAAACGATATGGCCCCTAAAGCAGAAGGCTTTAGACGAATGCTGCGAAAATGGAAAATAAACAGTTGTTTTTTATGAATCTGTTGCATCCTATATTTTCTGAAACTTTGAGCAGACTGTGCTCGGTGCCTAAGAGACATTGTTTTCTTTCCTGCTGTGCAAACTTCACATCTCCAAATGATGTTACAATATGTTTGATCATTATAGTCTGAATAAAAAAAAAAAACCCGATTTGAGAAAGAAGGATGAGCTTCAGGGCACATCCACTTTTAGACACCGCAAAATAAGTAAATTCTCATTAGCCTAAATATATTATTGCATTGGTATTTGGAGGAAACTTGTAACTAATTTCTAGTAACCTATCCCACTACAAAGTCCTCTGCTGTGTTCTTCAGTTCCAGGTCAACCATCTAAATTCCAGGTTGGTGCTGTGTCCGATACCAGCATTCAACTAACCTGGGAACCCGCCTATGAGAAAGAGGGAATTATAAGTTATGAACTTCGTTATATGGAAAGCACTTTTGGAGGCCAGGTAAGAATCTTAGTGTTTGCTGGTTTTTACATTCAAGAAACGCTTATCGGACGTTGCACATCGTTTAAATTCAGACTTGTCAAAAGGCATATTTTTAATCAACAGATGAAGAAAACATTTGGACCCACAACATCATATGTTGTGGAAGGTCTCCGTCCCAACACAGAGTATCGCTTCTCCCTGGCAGCCATCTCTAACAAAGGCATCGGAGCCTTCACAAATGACATTACGCAGAAGACCTTGCAAGCGAGTATGTAGCCCTTTATTCAGTCTCCCGTCTAACTTTCTTTTCGCTAACAAAGAGGTTTTCCTATCTATGCCACAGTTAAAAAAACATCATGACTGTACGCCTTTGTGGACCATTGCTACACTGAATACTAAACTGAATTTCTAATGGAGTTTTGTGTTTTTTCCCCTTTTCTCTGATGTCAGCGGTATCATCACTTATTCCTTAATAATGACTTCCTAATCACAGTTTAAAGCTGATTAACACCACATAGCAAACTGATTTAACTGTTGTGTTGTTGAATTCTTGCCGTTTGTTGTGGATTCATATTTCTGTATTTGACCTTCGTATTGTTAACCTTAATGAACCAAAACAACGGCGGTATCTTCTACCTTGGTGGCAAGGTGGTTAAAAAGAAGCTACAAAGGGGTAAAGACTTTTCAAACTGAGTGTTTTGCATTTTTATTTTTAATTTGAGAAATATTTTATCTTCTAAATTAGCTGTGATGCCAAAATGTGAGTGTACTCTGTCAAACATATTGAGTCTTTGTGGACTGACAATTTTGGCAGTTTTCTTTCTTTCCCTTCTCAATTTTGTTCATATTTGCTTCTCCTTTGTCAACAGCAAGTGCACTTCCCACGTGACAGAGACACAAAAAATGTCAGTTCTCCTCTGAAACCGCCAAGGCTCTTATATGAGCTGTATGTCTAGTAGCAATGTGAATTTAGTCACGAAAGACCAAAAAAAAAGAAAGTAGTAGTCGCCTAAATTACTAAAATGCCCACCCTCTAAATTTATAGCAGTCTGTTCTGCACTGATTATTTCATTTTACTGATGGTAGAAACACAACTGAATTATTCAAACCATCCAGCTAAAAATAACAGCAGTGATATCATAGTGCACAGTGGTGGGGTCTGTGGGGAAAGAAAATACCCACAGCTTATCCAGTCAAATGCAGTAGTAGGTACAAGAAAAACAATGTATTAAATTCATTGTCTTTTGGGTTTATTATAAATAAAAAGCACAAGAGTGATGTGTATTAAGATGTAATGCATTAATGGTGAAGAACCTTGAAAATAGAGCTGGATTTAAGGGATTACTGGTGGATCTGAGCCAGTCTTTGTAATAATAGAGAAGTCAAAAACGCATGCTTTGTTGGAGTGGCTATTGTTATTCTCAATAAACTGCATTGTGTAGATTTAGAGAAATTGTACACCGACAAAGGAGAGCCATGGCGGGAGAGAGACTTCTTTTAACACATTTTCTGTTTCTACCAGTGCAACTTGTTGGCTGTATCCCCACATCTGGATGTGTGTGGGGGGGCAGCTTTGAAACAACCACGTCACAGTTCTTTTTGTTACTGCTAGGCAGCAGAGCTACACAAGCAGTGCATAGTCACTGAGGAGGGCGCCACCTGCATGCCATACTCACTCCTGCCCACTTGGGGTGCTGTTTTAAACCTAACACTGCACCGCTGATCTTTAAGCAGTCTTGGCATGATAATACTCTGTGTTCATCCCTCTTTTGTCTTGGTGTCTTTTGAGTGTCTGTGCACATTTTCACCTATCATTGTGTCTTTGTGATTTCCTTGCCCGGTAAACCACAAGCTGATTGGATTGGATACGCCTCTATCTTCCTATCACATCCCTATTTCAGCTCTGTTTCCCCTTTTTTGCCACTTGTTCCCCTGTGCATTGGAACAAAAGGTCCTCCTCCTTTGAATGGCTTGACATCACTTTGCTCACTTTGTGTCCTCTCCCTTTTATGTTGACTCTTTTGGAAAAGGTTTTCTGTTAGATGTTTTATTGATTTATCAATTTGTATTTATTTCTGGGTTCTCTGAAAGAGTATTGGTTTGGCATCATTCCAAACAGTAGCTTGCTACTCTTTTTGGCTTTGTTTTGAGGGGTGGGTGGGGTGGTGGTTCTCGTATGAACCGTAGTCCACCGCTGACAAAGCAAGTACAACACAAGAGACGAAGCAACACACGGCATATTTGCCTTTTAAGTAAATATGGGGCATAACAGGCTTAATTCTTCCTCTGAGTTGCTTCATCTATGCATTTTCATTGGATGATAACGATATCTAGCTGCCCATCTTAAAATTTAATACTACTCTCCTAGATATTTTTATCGAACTCCGTTTTCTGTAAATATTGTGTCAGATATAAGTTCTGCTTTCCATAATAGAGTTGATATTAAATATTATTCTAGTTTTAATTTTAAGGTTTATCACCGCAGGCACCAGAAAAACCAAAGAATAAGTCAGACAATGCAAAATATTTCCCAACACTACACATTAAATAATGTAAGCTTTTTCGATGCTCTGAGGTAAGTGGTTGTGTGGTTTAGAGATTCAGTCTGCCATAACATTAATCAAAGACCATCCAGTTTATAGTTTTTTGGGGTTTTTTCATTAAACATATCAACAGCAATTGGAAAGCTACCTTAAGCCTTTTTATGCTTAAAAATATTTAATAGCTGCAGTTCGGATGCTTATACAGCACAGGATGTCTCTAGATCTGTAGACATATACGGTATAAGTTTTATTAAATGGCTTCATAATTGAGCTAAAATTGTCACTCTGTACATCTGAAAAAGCTGAATGTGTTAAGGTCATTATTGACATATAGATGCAAAGAAGCAGATCTACCAGCGGTTTAATAGCTAGTTTTATCTACTGAGTACACAGACACTAAAAACTGCTACACATGCGCATATAATACTCCTACTTTACAGTATAATGAAGATTAAGTGGTTGCTTGACTGAACTTACTGCAGTTAATTTTAAAGATGAATAATTTGCTCAGGAGGAATCAGCGTCATTAGGTCAAAAACTAGAGTAAATAATAAAATGAATTAATATTGCCTTTGCCTGTTCTGTCCAAACACATTGCAGAGCAACAGCATACAATCCCCCCCACGAGACCCACTTCAACTGGGTTTGAATCCACCGCGATGTCTGGCAGACTGAAACACTTTGCCACAAAGTGAAAAGAAAGACAGACAACATGATTTTCCAGTTTGCTTCGTTGTCTAGTATCTGTGGTAAAAATGTTCACATATTGTTGAAGTTTGTGCTCAGTCCAAGTAGCATTACCCGAGGCTATTGTCATGGGGACCATTCTGTCAAGAACTCAGAAAAAGTCACTTCAGAGAATAACAATTTTCTTGGAATTCTCTCACGACCTTTAATTGCGCTACTGCGATTGATGCCAAGTAACTTATCAAACTAAAGAGCACCAAAATCATTTCATTTGGTGCTCTCGGCCAGTGTTTTAATAGGCCGGATTAAATACAGCAAATGTTATTGGCAACAGTGGCCCCCATTCAGAAGCAAGGCCCCATGGGGTATGCTGCCATAGTCAAACCAGGATGCGATAACTTTTGTGAAACCTGTCAGACGTGGCCGGAGTGGGTCCACAACCTGAGAGCCAGGAGGTGCTCCCAGCATTCCTCTAGCTGTTATCCACGCACAAGGCAGGGTAACAGGACCTGAGACAGACCCTGGGAGTGGGTGTTAAGGGACTGCAGGGCCCCAGAGTCGCAGATAAGAATCCCATTTCATAGCGTCAGAATTAATTTCATGCTTTGCGATGAGCTTTGAGCCAAGGCCCTGGATTGTCAGGCTTTGTTACACATTTAGATTATACCTAGAACCTGCCAGTAGCCACTCAAGGGCTATCTCTCAAATTAAAGTGGCAGATTCTAAATCCTCTGTATTTAACCAAACAAGCAGTCAGCCGCCAACCCCCGACCCCCCCTCAATGCGCACAAACACACTTACTGTAATTGAAGTGGGTTTTTAGATATATTGGAATATTTGTGTAAGCCACACCACGGCCATTTGGCATCAGTGGAGAGATTAATTCCATAATGATCTACAAATTCGAACATCCTGTCATCTGATGAAAATACAGTGCAGATATAGACATGTGCTTAAAATCTGATAGCAAAAGCACGGGCAATCTGTCATGTGCAGGGTTCATTTCACAACAGGCACTCAGTAATAGCTTGTGTAACTAAAATTGCAAGCATTAATGTATGTAAGTTGCTTGGCTCCCGAGGCAATTTTAATCTGAATGTAGTCATAATAATTAGGTATGCTACCTGCACTTGACATTATTGATTTTATATCCAAAGCACCCGGTCACATCACAACAGACTTAAGAGTCAGAGGATATAAAAGCAGACATGACTAATTATTTGTCAAAGAGCATTTTGGGCAAGTCTTTCAGCGAAGCTTCAAAAGAACCTCAAGTGAAGCATTAACTGAGTTTCTTCTTTTGTGCTCGTATAGTTCTAGTATCCGTAATCCTGCCACTGGACTTCCTGGGATATGCACTTTATTAAAGCTGTGCCCCAGCCACTCTTAAACTGTTATCAGGCATGAGGATGCCTGTGCACTGTGATAGCCTGGCCACTGTCAGTTTCATAGCCATTTTCTGCCTACAAAGATTGAGAACTGAGCAATCGTTCTTGACGTGGAAGGTTTGCAAATACAATATGAGCGAAAGGAAAGAAGCTGAAAAGCTCAAAATCCAGTAAGACCTTAAGTAAATAAGCCCATTGGACACAGAAGGGTTTGGAAACTGTGGCTGAGGTCCTGTTTTATTTGTTGTGCGCTAGAACATTCAGTCTTCGCTGGGAGGAGGCCTGTCTTATTCTCAGAACTCCTGTTTTTTATTTCCTTTTAAAGCTGTTCTACCCAAAGTGACATTACAGGCAGAACACTGTCATTAAACTTTTATGAATTCCACAACACAAGCTTTCCATGTTGCTTCTTCTATTATGGTGCCCTGGCATTCTCGTAATGGCACTAAGCTTTACAAAGAGACATAGGCACAGGGCTATGAAATGGGATTTATTTTTGCAAATTGCAAATAAAAAAGGATGTTTGTGTAGTTGGCCAAATGTACTAGAATGGAATATCTTGGGAGGGAGTATTTTTCCACCAACGCTTCCACCGCTCACAGTCTTGTGGACCTTCCCAACCGACAGTACAGTATCAGACAGCCCTGGCTACAGCATAGAGCCAACTCTTTCTCTCAGAGTAAACCCAAAAAAGGGGGTTAAAAACAAACTCTCAAAATTAAAAGGTGGCTCGCTGATTTCTCTCAGAATTTGCGGCATGCTTTCTGGCGAGGAAAGCGTTGTCGCACAGCAAAGTTGGCTCATTCTGTAGTCAGGTGCTGGTGGTAAGAAAGTCTTTAAAATTGTGTGTTTTTGGGAGTCAGGTACGTATTATGCAGACAGCGCTTGTGTTTTCTTTATGTTTGTTTGCTTTTCAGAATTTGAATGTTCTTATTTTGTGTTCATGCAGAGTTCCTTTTCCATGTTTACTCATGAGTTGTCATCTTGAACTTTAACTGTTGTTGTAGTTTCTTTTTGAGTCACCTGGGTTACAGAGAAATTTGTTTCAGTGCCCTCCTTTTGTTCATAATTTAGTTTTTCAGACTTTGTTTTTTCCAATGTTTTTATTTCTTTTCTGCTTTATGTGGAATGCTTTATTATTTTATTTATTTTGATTGTTGTGGTTTGTTTACCTACATAATAGACAAAAGATGTAATAATGAACTGGGTTTGTCACATCGGCAGGGACCGTGCATATTTTCAGATTAAACTTGTACAGTGCCATTGGATAGAAACATTTTCATCCAATTCTTCCATACAGTACCAAAGCCTGGATGAGAAGGGTTATCGCCCCCTACACGGCACATTTTCTGGACAAGCTCAAGCTGTCTGAGAACTTGGCTCAGATCAGAAAGAAAGGCACTGAGTTTGGTCTAGAAACTTTTCAAAGACCACTTCAGACACAAATAATAGACACCATGTTGGACTGATTTAATACTGTAAAGAAATAAAGGACAGATACAAAATCTCTTTATACGAAATCTTGAATATCTATTGCAATATATGTATTAGTGCTGTAGGCGTTAATCTCATTAACGTCATAACTACATTAACGCAGCAAATCTCCGTCAACGAGTTACCGCGGATCGCCCCGTGTGTGGGGCTGCATGGCGTCAACGCGTTAGCATGGTAGCTCGTTAACGCGTTGACGCCGTGCATCCCCACACACAGGGCGATCCGCGGTACTCTCCTCAGTTGTCTGACTAAAGTGCCTCGTTTGCAATAAAACACTACAACAGGGGTGTTCAACATAAGGCCCGGGGACCAGAACAAGAAGGAGGGCATAACATTTGCAAATTAACAGCTTAGACCTCTCCATTGGTTATTCACACTTCACCAAAGTAACGTTTAAATGACACAAAAATTCATTTTTCTATGATCTACTATAGAAATTTCTGGGTTGTTTTTTTTTACAATGGTTCTACAGTTAAAAAAAAATATTCTTTGAACTTTTTGTGTACTTTTATTTCTTACAGTTTAAATCAAGCTGACACATGTCACTTATTGCTGCAGTGTTTCTTTATGAATTGCTGCTGTCTTTATGTATAAAGCTAAGAAATACTGTTGAAATTACCTTTCTTATTCTTTTTCTAAATGTGTAGTTAAACTTCTTTATGCTGACAGAAAGCTAAGTGAGATCAAAGTGGGCTGTATATGGCCCACTGTGTAAAATGAGTTTGACATCCCAGCTCTACACTGACACAACATAGTATATGCATATCCAGTGCTCATATCCCAAAACAATAGCTATCTGGATTCATTATTACACTTGCTTGTGCCATTTATCCATTTATTGCATCTTAAGTTGACATTTGCTTGAGTTTTTTTTTTTTTTTTTAAATTTGTTTTGCATCTGTCTTTGTTTTACAATTTTCTTTGGATTCTTCTTCTTGTTTTTTATTTAAGTTTTGAATTTCCCTTTCTTTTTTCATTTTCTTTATCTCTCCCATCTTTTTTATTTTTTTGTTTTTCACCCCTCCTCCCTCCTTCCCCAACCTCCTCGTCCTCCTCCTTCCTCCCAACCCACCCCTCCTCCTTCCTTCCTGTCCTCTCCACTTCACCAGAGCCCTCAGCTCCCCCTCAAGAAGTTAAGTGCAGCAGCACCAGCTCTACCACCCTGTTGGTAAGTTGGCGCCCCCCACCTTTGGAGAGTCAGAATGGTGCCCTGGTGGGGTATAGGGTGCGCTACCAGGTGGTGGGCCAGTCAGAAGGGGCCGGTGACAACGAGGAACCGCTGGAGGAGCCCATGGTGCCTGCCACTGAGGAACAGGTGTTGCTTCAGCGATTAGAGAAGTGGACCCAGTACCGTGTCACGGTGTCTGCCTCCACTGTGATTGGACCTGGCCCCGAGAGTGAGCCCCTCGTCTGTCGGACCGACGAAGATGGTAGGTGAACCTAGCCTGTGCAGAAGCTCTTGTATTGACTTTTTATTATGGCTCAATAGCACTTTAGTTTAGTGGTGAGTATACCACCGGTAAACATTGTTTTTCTGTTGTATGTGTATGTGCAACCCAGTATTACAGCAAAATGTGTAATAGACACGCCAGTGCGCGGTTTCCATTTCACACTTTGCTTCTCCAAAACACAAAGTGGACACGTATGCAGAAATTGCATTACCAGCAGGGAGACATGATATATTTAAAGCCACAAAGTCGGTAGTGAGCCAAATACGTATTAAGTACATTCCAGTGTCCTTAATTGTCAGAATTAAGCTAGGGGCCTAATATGTATATTCATGTAAATGTGTTAATAAGGTCTGTTTAAACAATTTGTGAATATGTCCTATATGATGGAAATGTGCTGCACATGCATGCATAAAAGAAACTAAGATCACATGGTATCAAATGCATACCAATAATGTTATAGCAGCATACTGCTTTATAAACTGTGCAAATGGAAAGACTCAAAATGAAATATACACGCGGGAAATCAAGCATTTTTGCTATTGCAACATAAACAACTACTGTCCTATTGCTCAATTGAGGGCCATATGCATTTATGCATATGGGTACAAGGCCTTATCTATTCAAACATTTCCACAAATAAAGAGTCACAACACAGTGACAGTATCTATCGAAAGCCTGTCATTATGATAATAAGTATCTTTAAGGAAATGAGATCCAGGGCTGAACAGTAGAATGCGCCTTGTTAATGAACACAATTTTACCATGATGACGGGAAAGATGATGGGGTTGTGATTTAGAGGCAAAAACAGGGAGTCAAAGTGTTTTGTAAAGGAGCAAATGGAAGCAGGTTGAGTGGAAGAATTTTATCAACAGAACATCCATCTCACAAAGGGACGGTCCGTGGCAAACTGAAAGGCCCGAACGCAAGGCCTGCCATAAAAGTCTGTCATTATGACTGACAGACGAGGTTTACCACAGACAGAGACGTACTGAAAAGGTGGAAGAGACACGGGGAAGTGATGAATGCGTGTGCATGTGTGCGTGTTGAATTTGACTGACACTGGAGTGTGTTTGTTGTTTCTAAATGTTTTTGTCCATCATTCTTGCTAGCTGTCAATAGTTTTCTCTGTGCGTACATGAATTTGGATTCAGGGAGTTATTTATGTCACGACATGATGTGAGGCACTTTTACGATGCAGGGCGGTGAATCAGACTCACAGGTGTGTGATGGTCTCATGTGAGGATTTGATTATTTCTTTAATTTCTTGTAGTTCCTGGGGCTCCTCCAAGACGGGTGGAGGTGGAGGTTATCAACTCCACAGCAATTAAGGTGATGTGGCGTTCTCTTACGCCAGGCAAGCAGCACGGACAGATCCGTGGCTACCAGGTTCATTACGTGCGTGTGGAAAATGGCGAGTCTCGAGGCCTGCCTCTCATCAAGGATGTCATGCTGGCTGATGCCCAGGTATGACCATCTCGTAGTTTTCCTTCTACAAATTACCTGTCAGAAAAATGCAAATCCCGCCACGCAGCATGCGTTTATCGTGCACCAATCGCATTAAAAATTGAAAACATATGTGTAAGCTATTGGCTTTTTTTTTCTTCTCATGCAAATCGCGAATTGTCTAGTTAATCCACGCTGTTGCAGCAGGAGTATGGGGAGCGATAGGGCTCTTGCCTTGTAGATTTCATTTCATTTCTTTCTCCCTCAGCCCGTCAACACACAATAAGAACTATAATCAAAGCTTCACTCATCTTGTCCTCCTTCTTCTACCTCAATGGCTTTTATTAGGAATGTCAAGACCCCTGCTTCATGGCAACATATGCAATGAAATATTTATGTGTGCTTGTATCCAGTGCAAAGACTTGGAGAAAATGGGCACGGAACTATTTCACCACAATTTAGACTTTGACTGGCAGAACTGGAAACGATGCTTTTTGGGGGTTTGTTTGTCTTTGTTGGGGGTTTTTTTTCTGTCAACACAGTTCTAGTGATGACTGTGTGTAGTACCGGCGTTTCAAATGGAGATTTTGAACAACTGGGAAAACAAAACACAAAAAAGTTTAGTGCATTCAGGCCAAGCACCACACGCACAGGCAAAAACCTCTTTTTTATATCTATTTATCTTAGTTTGTATCATCATTAATCCATGTAATGCTACATTTTCATGCCATTGCTGCTTGTAGTTATCAATATATAACACTATTGTGCCTTTTTGTCAGCTGAACAGTAACGTAATTAAACTAGCAGACCTGTACAGCTCTCCTCACAACATAAACTTCAAACAGTTTCTTTCTCTCTTGACCTCCTAAAACCAGTGACCTATTTCTGATACCCATCCTCTGCTCCCAAACCTCTTATGCCCCCGTCTCTCACAATCCTATTTCTTCCCTTTCTTTTTTTTCTCTTTCTTTGAAAAAAATATTGCTCTCTCTCCTGCGCTCTTTGGCGGGGGGGGGGTTAGTGGGAAACAGACGATACAGCTGAATATGTGAGTACGAAGCTTCACCTGGGTGCTTTGTGTGCCTGAAAGAGTGTAAACAGACAGGGTATTGCATCAGCCCGGTTAGATTCACAGGTTACACAGCCTATCCGATCCTTGTTCATTAAGTCTGGGCAACAGTTTGGCTCAGGGGCTTAGCTCTCTGGTGACTCGGTCTAAACACTATATCTGTGCATAACCAAGAAAAAGGGGGCTTACGTCTGTCATCATTTAGTTCGTACACTTGATGGCTGATGCAATACCCACTGACCACTGTGCCTGGAATGCTAACGCTATTCGTATCATACTGTGTGCTGACAGTGTGTTGTGTCTTGTGCTCTGGTGGTGTTTGTATGATTTTTCCCCCTTCTGTTTTGTGTTTGTGTGATCTGTGCTCCATAGATATATATTCTTTTTTAATGTGGTGCTTTAGAAGTACTGTGCTTCCTTGAGTTTTGTATATTGAGATGGTAGTTTAAAGAATATCTCTGTACGACCCACATTGTGATCATTCATATTTTTTACTTTGCACAGAATGTTCTCTACCTTTGAACCAGAGTCCATCTACATTACACGAGTACCATGTCAAGTGCAACACACTACTTATAGCTCATTTACCTTTATTGATTTCTCCCATCCTTCTGCCAAACTAGTGCCTGTTAAAAACCTAATTCTGCATTCGTTCAAACCTTCTCTCTTGAAAGATTCATTAGAATTGATCGGAAGCCTCTCTTCGAAGAGGACTCAAGGAAACTTAATGGCTGAGGTAAAAAACTGCCAGGGAATGGCCAGGATGTATTCAGCATGCATTTATCAAAGTTAAGTTGTTGATTGGAATATTGCTAAAGGACTAAGTGGAACTACTTTCCATTTACATGCATAATGTCACTCCTCCACCTTGGCAGATCTAATAATTTATGTAATGGAAATGTCTTCCATTACACAGGGGGAAACATTACATTTAATGCATGCCTCGTGAAAATTAATAAAGAGGAGCAGGAGACACTTGGCTTAGATTAACATTCTGCATAAGGCAGTTTGAGCTGCACGAAGTGGGGTCAAATCATGAAAAATTCAACACGTATTTTGACATTTTCCTGTCTCTGCTTCTTCCGTGTGTCCCATAGGAAATGGTCATTGGAGGACTCAAGCCAGAAACCACTTACTCCATCACAGTGGCAGCATACACCACCAAGGGGGATGGTGCTCGGAGCAAACCCAAACTGGTGGTGACCAAAGGCGCAGGTTAGTACAATGATAAATAATTGATTTGTTTGTTGTCATAGAACCTTTGTTCGTGCAGCAGTAAAGCTAACTTGTTTTTCTGCCTCTGACTGAAGGGTTTTTCACTCAGGGACTCCTGTTCGCTCCCATCCAGCTGTCTCCGCTATGATTGTGCTATGATTGCTTGTTTGCATTTATTTAACAATACTCAAAGAACCCTCGCAGAGAGCCACAATATAGTGTGATTAACTGATTCGGATCTGTTTAGTAGACACGAACAAATGCAATAATGAATAATTTCAAGAATTTCTGACAGTTAACTAAGTGTAATTAGGACTCTTTATCGACAGCGCCATAGGCTATGATATTAACAGTGTGTTCAGCTACTCAGGGCTGTTATTCAGGGCACATCTAAGTCTAAGGCAGTGTTTGCTTTTATCAGTGCTGCGTTTATCATTTGAGTCATGTCCTGAAGGCTAGCCACAGATTTTTAGAGATCAAGGCCACGGATCTTTTAGAGACCAGGGCATGGTGTGAGGTTTTTTTTTTCCCTAAGACAGATTAGGAGAGCATGAAAACACATGTTGCTCTTTGGTTTTAGCTGTATATTAGAGCCTGCACTCTACAAAGCATTGTTTTCTTCACATTTCTCCTTTTTTTTTTTTCACCGCTGAGCATACCAGTTTGTCTAGACTCTCTATGCCTGCCTAAAAGCTAGTAGTTTGTTTAGAATGAGCATGATCTGCAGAGGATGTAAAAAGCTTGCATACCCCTGCTAAAATGCCACATTTTTGTAATGCAAAAATAGAAAAATATATATATAAATTATTTAGAAATGTTCTACCTAAAATGTGACCTATAACCTGAACAATGTGGTTCAAAACCAGATCTGTTAGGGGGTAAAATAAAAATAAATAAATAAAAATAATGTAGTTCCATATCAACAAGCTTATGTTTTGGGTTTAGTTTAATTGTAGGTACATTCAGTCAGTTCGTTTCCAAGCCAATGTATACCAAAACAAACAGCAAGAATTTCTTACAAAGAAAATTAGCAAAATTTTGCAGCAACATCTATCAAGTCTCCCAAAAGGATGTGGAGAAATGTTTCTGGTCTGATGAAACCAAGGGTAAAATCCCAAAGCTTTTTATTACAACCAAAGCAATGCATACCACCAAAACAATGGCATACCCGCGGTGAAGCATGGTGGTGGCAGCATCATGCTTTGGGGGCGTTTTCTTCAGGTTGAGCTAGAGCCTTAGTTAAGGTGGAGGGAATTCTGAGCAGTTTCAAACACCATTGTGTTTTGGCAAAACAGTGAAGTTTATGCTCGAAAGCATTTTAACGTTTAGTGTGCCAAAAACCGAAAGCATCCAGATCAAAAAAAGAATGGCTTGATTAGAAGAAGATTAAAGTTTTGAAATGGCCAAGCCAAGCCAGAGCCCAGAACTGAATCCAAATGAAATATTGTGAGGTGACCTGAAGAAAGCAGATGATGCAATTGGACAGATTTGGAGCACTTTTGCAAGGAAGACTCGGCAAATATTAGAAAGTCACGATGCACTGCGCTTATAAGCACCAACACCATAAGAATGAATTATGTTACAACGTCAAAAGGTGCTTCAACAAAGTGTTAGTTTGAGAGTGCATATTTATGCAGAAGGTTATTGTAAGTTTTTTATTTCAATCCTTTTGCAGTTGAGTTGCAGGGTCTGTAGGTCATGTTAGAGGTTGAAAAAGTTCAAAAATTATTTTGCCTGGTCTAATTTTTTTTTTACATCATAAAGTAAACTAGCATTTTGACAATGGTGTGAAGACTTTTTATATTCACTGTGAACCTCAGGTTGACTTGCTATGAGTTTGAAAGCTTTCTGTGAGTGGTTTTAGGCCATTAAACTAAGATTGTGTATGCATGTACTTGAGAAGGCCTCAAAGTGCAAATATGTGCACAACTGTATACATACAGCACATACTTTTTTTTTACGCTATTATTATTTTAAAATAGTGAGGGATTGGGATGCAAGGATTTAATATATGTTCATTTGTTGTTTCTGTGTTTTTGTTTTTTTAAAGTAAAGAAAGAAAGAAACCCGCCATTACCTACATTCACTGTCTAACCAAACCAAAATTACAACAAAGCAGTAGCACTACTAAACTAAAATACTTCCTGAATTTTGGTTCAGTGTGTGATATGGGACTTTACTACCTGGTCTGGTCTCCAGGAAATAGACAGTGGCTGCAAACAACAATGAAGTAGGTTACAGAGCCTCTAGCAACCACTAGACTAGCTGACATGCAGAAAACTAAGCTTGTTGAATACATTCAATGCTCAAAATGTGTTCTAAGCTACAAGTAACAAAAACACTGGATATATACAGGGACACAAAAAAAAACCTAAATCAGGGCTGGCTGGAAGAACAGATTGGCTGTACTTTTGAAGCAGGTGGAAGAATTACTGCTGCAGCTTGATGAGAGCACAGGATTGGGGCACTGTCCAATCAGTAACAACAGAAGGCAGAATGAAGGAAGAGCAGTTAGGCTGGCATGCAGGATGTAAAAAAAAAAAGTGCAGGCACTAAATTCTGATCTTGGGGTTACATTCAGAATTACCTTACAAAACAGTCAGAAGACTCAAAAAGACAAAGGACAAGGTGGTGTAATGGTCGAGTAATGTTCAAAAAAATGCTTATATCTTGATAAAGCTGGTGTCTTTCAGTCCATGCTCTCATTCCCTTCCATTCCCCCCAAAAGCAAATAACTTTAAATCCATCCACCCATCTATCTTCTATTTCAGAAGTTCTTCACATAGATATTTTAAAAAAGCAGTATTTCTGCTTTGCTGAATCTTTATCAGGATTTGATTATTTCGTCTGTAACGATATGTGCAGACCTGTAGAGTGGTATGTCATACGCTCCTGTACAGACAACACACACTAACGTGTGTACACACAAATGTCCCATCTCGTGACAAGTGTGTGTTACAGGTGTCAGGGAGCATGGCGCTGCCCAAGGGGCCTGAGCGAGTGCTGTCACTCTCCATCCTTCTGTCAGGACTGGCTGACTGATGCGCCATTCCACAGCAATTCTGTTTGTCCCTCGAAGGGAGAGCTTCTCCTTTTTATTATGATTGAATTAAAGAACTAGTTTATGCCAGGGGCCAAGATAAATAGAATAGGGTAAGAGGTGAGAGATGGAGGTGTGGGGGGAAAGAAGTAAAAACAGGCTTTCTTGGAGGTAAAGCAGATGTCCTTCTTGTCCCAAGCACCGGTAGGATGATTGGGACATTGGCAATTTTCAAGGCAATTTTCTTTTGTTGTTTTTTTCCTCCAGAGCAAGTTGAACTAATGAACTAATTGAATAGTTACATCTTTGAATTGCAAAAAATTCAGACAACATGAGAACAGGTGACAGAATCATCAGATTATACACAGTTCATAGTGTCTGTACATTCAATTACAGAGGACGGTCTCATATGATTATATTATGGTATTAGTGGACTAATCAAGAAGCCCTGCTTTAGGCTTTTGAGATTTTGTTTCCATGTACCCAGACTTCCTTTTCATTTTTAAAGTGTTTTTAATGTGTTTTAAGCAATACTTCCTCAGGCTTTCCTAAGGTCTGCTTTTTCACTCATTTCACTCATTACCTGACCATTTTCTAGAAGATTTTTTTGTTGTTGTTCGGTAAGACACTTTACACTGACCTATAAATCATTGAAGCATAAAGCAGACACCTATCTCAAGGGATGAAACAGTGTTGTGTTTACACAGACAGCTGAGCAACTTGGTTCAAATCGACATCAATATGTAATGAAGGAGGTCATGCCAGAGCTACAACAATGAGCGTCTACAGGCATCTGTAAAACATGGCGGAGGCTCTGTCATGGTACCAGTGGTGGAATTATGAACGCAGAAAAGCAACTGACTTTTTTTTAGCATCTTTAGAATTCTGTTTTTGCCCCATATACTATATCTTCATCACTGATTTGCCTTTTTTTTTTTTAAATATTAAGAAATTTGTAGGTGTCTCGAGACTTTTGCACAACACTGTAACTGTAACATTGTACATTCTTCAACTACAAAACTAAACAAAGCACAAACTTTCATAGAAACTTTTCATCAAAAACCACACTAAAAATGGATCCCAACTTGTAGGAACTTATAAACCCAAATATAAGATGTTTTCTTCTTCTTCACCATGAAAAACAGATGTTCTTTGTTGAGACAGCCACTCCTTCGTGTGGTTTGCACTTGTGTGAACTCACTCATAAATTGGCACACTTCAAATGCGTATTGTAAATCAATTTAACTTTCTCCCACATTGTACGTCCTCTAAAAATTTTTTTTTTTTTAAAAACATGTAACTTATGCAATTTCTTCTAAAATCTTTTTTTTTCTAAAGCATGCACTTGAGGAGAGCAGTTGCCTACAGAAGATGTCATAGCCTTGGTCTTTTTTTATGTAACAATAAGGCTTCGATACAGTGCGTCATGACAACCATGGCATGTTTTTTCTTGCCACTAAAAATTGTAACATCAATGGCCAAGGCTTTTTATCTTCCAGACTTTCCAACCAGCCTCTCTGGTAGTTTGGTGTATCAAAAAGGATCTGAAAAAGATCTATGCAGGATTTTGTCTGACTTGGATAAAACTGGAGTTCCATACCTATTTGTGAGTCATAGATGAACAACATTTATTCTGTGGCTGAATCTCTCTTTGTTTGCTGAGTGAAAGCTAGGTTTGAAAAGTGGCTTTTCATGAGTCATATTTTTAAAACTCTTCCTTTGAGGAATACACTGAACCACGGCCAACAATCAATGTCTGCGTCCTTTAAATCTTTCGTTCTTGCTCACATGCTAATGGAAAAAAAATAGTCAAGACTTCATTATAAGTCGAACAAAGTCAAAACATAATGCTACAAAGGCACAGTTGTTTATTGGTAGGCTGTGCGCCAAGTTGCTCAAAATATCAGCTTGGGATCCCAAGAGGCTATAGAGCAAGGGGAAAAACTGTTATTTTGCATCACCAGGTACCAAACATAAGGCCCGTTGGTGTGATCCACACAAATGGATGGATTAAATCATATTAGGTTTGATTTTAATTATTTATAAATTGCATTGCAAGTATGGATGGATATTGATTCAGATCAAATCAGCCACACCACTGTTATTTACAGCTTTAAGGATTGCTGGGTATCCTCCACTTGTAACATCTTAACTGGTTAAAACTCCCTTAGGCCAACCTCACAATACTTGATGCATCATGCAAAAGGTTGCTGAGCTCTTTTTCTCCTTGCTTCTTTAATGGCTCCTTCTCTCCGAATGGGCCAAGTGAAATTTATTGCTTTTCTTTCTCCATTACATTTCCCACCCTACAAATTACTACTCTCCATGAATCCCTGAAATATAGGCAGATAGGATTCAAAGAAGCAAAGGGAAAATAAAGATCAGAGAGACAGATTTTACACGACCTTTCAGCATTTGCAAAGTTGCGTATGCGTGACTGACGTGCACAAGAGAGGTAGGAAATGAGAAGGAAACCTGATCGTCCCCTTCTGAGTCAGACTGAGTAAGTATCAACAGTATTCTGTTAATATGGTGGCCTAATGGGAAATGTGCAGGGAGGCCCACAAGGAGGGACTGAATCAGGCTCGACCCTGAAATGGTCAAAGAGTGGAAAGAGGAGGAAGTTAGGAAATGAGAGTGGGAATTGGACATCGTGCGAAGGGAGAAGTAAAGTAAAGAAATTGGGAAGAAAAAAGGGACTGTGGGTAAAAGGAGGGTGACACAGAGGAGAGGTGGAGAGGGACAATCAAAGTGTCCTGGAAGCCCAGAATCGCTCATGTACACACACACACACACACACACACGTTTCTGCCTCCTCATATCCCTGTTGGGCCCTCTTTGCAGCTGATTGCACCTTGTCCCCAGTCACCTTCATCATCTCTCATTCACTCATTTTTCAACCCCTCACTGTGGCCTTGTTGACTTTATCATCTCCTTGTAGCACCTCACACACACACACACACACTCAGCCCACACCATGAGCCGTCCCCCCACCCCTCCTCCCCCTCTCTACACCAATCTGCTGGCTCAGTACCCGTGATCCCTCTCCCCAGTGTGCACTAGGCCCCAGTTTAAAATGTACAAATAATAAAACCGTTTTGGGGGTACACAGGCTGTAATGGATACATATGGCAGCCTGTTGAATTTCGAAGCGAAGCACAAAAACAGAGAATCAAAGACACGTGCTGCGCCTTTGCAGGATCATTCTCCCTGATTCTATTTTCTTGATTAGCAGTGATCATGAAGGGAGAGTGGGTTTCCAAATGACACAAAGCTGAGCTATAGTATGTAGCCAGGGAGTATTAGAAGCATTTGTCTCACCCAACACTCGCTGCCCCCACCTTTCCATTACCGGCAAATGCTCAGCTGACTAGCCGCCATCTACCCACTCACCTCCATCTTCCTCTAGCAACAGTCTTCAGAAAGAAAATCATTGGCAAACAGAAATGAATAATAAGCGCAGAGGAAGGAGAGTATGTGGAGTGGATTTCTCTCTCTCTCTGTCCCTCTTGCTCTCTCTTTCTTCTCTTTCCAGGCTCTGTGTGTGTGTCTGTGTGTTTACTGTGTGCACAAAACGTACATCTTATCACAATAAACTATATGTAGACACATACAGTATACACGGACACATTTGCACGATGATACTGTTCCACTGAGAGGCAGTACTGTTGCCTCAGACTAATGTTGGCTTCTCCAAATTACTTTAAGTTCACACTGGGCAACAAGCCAAATAGCTCTATGTGCAGCTGGAATGGCGATATAGGAGATGAAGCTGGCTGGAGACCAGGGCCAATAGGCTGACACACATCAGCAAAGAAAATTCAGAGTGTCCATCAAGCACAAAGATACAGGATGCAATGATTAAGGGGTGGGTGCGGGGGTGAATTCAGCTTGAATTCATCTAGCATTAGCATCAACAAGCGTTAGCCAAAGAAAGCAAATGAAGGCATAATTATGTCTGCATAAGATAATGATGAAAAGTACATAACACCTGCAACCACAGTTAATAATTTGCATTCAGTTTATTTAGTTGTTAATAAATTTATGCAGGATCAAACAGTTTCGCAGGCCAACTTTGCCAAACAAATTGGCAAGCTTTGTGAATCTTCAGTATGCAGGAGACTGTCACTCATCATTCTGTCTGACTACTGTAGATACATGTAATTAATTTCATAGCTGACGTGTCTCATTACCTCCTTTGTTTTCTTTATTAATACTAAAGTAATGCATTTGGATTTAAATTCATAAAACAATGTGTATCTATAATAGAATACTTATAACATTTGCCAGTTGTTTGTCCCGTCCCCACCTTTTCTGAGAAAATTTGTTGTTTCTCAGAAAAAGGAGGGAAGTACATAGATCAGAAGATGAGCGAGGAAGCTAGAATCTATTTACATGGGGCTCAAGTGCAAATCAGCCACGCTCATCTCTCACAAAGCTTTGACAGCAGCTTGAGAACTAAAGGCTTCACATAACTGCTGCTGCCGCTGTCTCGGTGATGGGACCTTAAAAGGAGGGTTAGGATGAGACGTGTGTCATCCATAACAGCAGCAAAACTGGGCCACTCTGAAGAATAGTGTCTGGACCCCAAGAGTAGATCATCCATTTTACAACAAGAGACAAACAAGGCGCTGTTCTTCGCTTAAAGTTTTAGTGGTGCTTTGCTGTAATGCAATGATTTTTGGCTTCAGCTTCTATGTATCATGAAATGGTAATGGGTACAGCGATCACTTAGGAATTAAAGCATTTTGGGGATCTTCTGCATTTCTGACTCACTTTGTTAGCTTATTGACTGTAAGTTCAAACAATTTCCCCGAGTTTTGTTCATCTTGATCTTTACCTTGGACACATAGACATCGTTTTATGTGCGGTATCTGATCCAGCTATGTTTTTACCATCCTTTGTAAATGCTTCCGTCGTATACTATTTGTATCAATAGTAACAGTGTTGATGATTTTGCTACACAGTACAAAAACTCAGTGCACTTTCTATAACACAAACCATAACTCCTAAATCGGAAGGAAAAATAAAACATAAACGATGGTTATATGTCATGAATGACTTTCAACGCTCACCCATATGTACCATTTTCATGTCTCTTATTTAAAAACGTGCATTCTAATAAAACTGTAATGCAAAGACATCACGCTTTTTATTTCTTTGTTTCTGCAGTACCTGGTCCGCCCTATCTGTCAGTGGCTCAGGACTCAGAGACATCAGCCGTGGCTCGCTGGGATCCTCCAGATCTAACCAATGGCATGGACCTGCAGGGTTACCGGCTCCAGTTTGGCAGAAAAGATGTCTCTCCTTTGGCCACACTGGAATTTGCTCCCCAAGAGCGGCAGTACTCTGTGGGCAACATTCACCGGGGGGCAATTTATCTCTTTAAGATCTCTGCCAAGAGCAGGGGTGGCTTTGGGGAAGAGGCTGTGGTAGAAGTCAATGTGCCTGAGAATACGCCAGGGGGATACCCACAAATTAACGAGGGCTCCAATGTGACTTGCTGCTCAGTGCAGCTGTCCTGGTCTCCACCAGTCCTGGCAGAGAGGAATGGGGTAATCACAGAGTACACTTTGGCCTATAAAGAAGCTGGCACCAGAGAAGCTCCACGGGAACTCCACTTACCCCCCAGCCTCTTCAGCTATGTGCTCAACAGCCTCAAACCGAACTCGGCATATGACGTGAAAATACGTGCACACACCAGTGTAGGTCCAGGGCCCTACAGCCCACCTATCCAGTATCGGACCGTGGCCTTTGATCCAGCAGGTAGGGCTTGCTTGTTTGTCTATGTTATCCAACCCAGTTGGCGGGGGGTTGGAAATTGGCTAAAATTAATCTGCAGCAACACAAAAACTGCCCACCCCCTCCTTCAACCACCTCCACCTCTCCTCAAGAAAGAGGAAACACTGATATTTAAATTGCTTGCCGTGGGATACTTACTTCAATAACCCAAATCAGGTAAAAGATAAGTCAGTAAGTTATAGTCAGTCATTTTGAGAAAGAGGAAAGAAGCCTAGAATTTCAAGGTAAGTGCAATTTGGTCAGACACTCTTCTCAGTCATTCTTGCAGCCTGTTGCCAAGCACAGTCACTCAGCTAATGTCATCTCACATCCCCAGTTTACAAACAAGGTAGGATCTCAATCAGATCTAGTCACTTTGAGAGTAAGTGTGGACTTCTAAAATTGCAAAACTCTCATTTTGGTTCTTTATTTTATTTTTGGTTTAAGATATTCTGCCCTTCCTAACTCCCTTCCTCTCCCAGAACCTCATTCTCCGTCCCCCTGTCCTTTGACAGGACAGCTTGTGGCATGGCATCCCACAGATGCACCGCTAAGGACTGTTAGCATGCTATGTTTTGGGTTTGTCTCTTTGCCTACACGGCATCACGTTGGCAGTGCCAACCCAGACTTAGTAGAGGTGTAGGATCAGTTGGCATTGGGACCGCATGGGTCAGTTGTTAATCATCAAATGCTCGTGGTTCAAAGATAATGATGAGCTGGGTTGGCACTACCCACGATGGCTAGCCAGTAGGTACACCCTTGTGCTCCATGGGTTTGTTGTCCATGAGTCTTACGTGCTGTGTGTCCTAACCAATCGCGTTGCCCTTCTCACAGCCAATCACAGCTCACTGTTACACTCACTTTCCTACCCAGAGGAGCGTTGCAGGGGAAGAACAGCTTTTTTTTTTCTTTTTTTTTTTAAAAAAGCAAAAAAGCAAAATCAGGTTTCTTTATTTGTTTCCCTTTCTTTCTGATGTAAAGATGGTCCATTCACTTATGATACACCCTCTTTCTTTTTTTCTTCTTCTTGCGTTTGTGAACTCAACAGATGTTCCAAAGAACTTCACTGTAAAGTGGGCCACCAAGTCCACAGTGGTCATTGCTTGGAAGTTTTCTGAAAGCAGGTCCCCGTATAAATGCACTGTGAGTATAATGTTGTAAAGCATTCCCACTGTGTAATTTAGCATCCTTGAAGTTGAATTCAATTGAAAACTGTCATTCAGTTTGTCATATTTCAGTGACATGAGTTACCACTAAACAATCTTCCTCTTTTACTCTCTATTCCCTCACCAATTTGCTGATTGACTATCACTCTAATCCTAGATTGAGTATAACCGCCAGAAGATGGATGTGGATGCCAGGCAGCTGAAGGTGTTCGTCACTGGACTAAGACCTAACACCACCTATGAGTTCACAGTGATCTGTCAAGAAAGCATAAATGGTGGGCAAAGACATCGGGTAATAGCCAGGACAGCGCCGCTCATGCTGATCAGGAAACCCAAGTTGGACATCTACAGTAACTCGGATACCGCGCTCACCATGTCCTTTCCATCATTTGACAGCAAGGATGTCAAGTGAGTTTTGAGGGCTAAAAGCATCTGTGAGCTCTGTCTGAATTGTCTTGAAGGGTTAGGGGTTGCTGTCTTCCTTCTCTCTCTCCAACCGGTTGCAGCAGATGGCCCTGCCCCTTCCTGAGCCTGGTTCTGCCGGCGGTTTCTTCCTGCTAAAAGGGAGTTTTTCCTTCCCACTGTCGCCAAAGTGCTTGCTCCTAGGGGGCCATATGATTGTTGGGTTTTTCTCTGTACGCATTATTGTAGGGTCTACCTTACAATATAAAGCGCCTTGACACAACACAACACAACTGTTGTTGTGATTTGGCACTGTATAAATAAAATTTAATTGAATTAATTGAAAAAGTTTAAATGTTGACATACTTAAAATCTGACGTGACGTCTGTTGAGATCACTAGGTAATGAGTATATGACGTGGACTGCTGGTAATTGCTAGGCCCTTTGAGAGAACTGAATTGTCACGTCAATTTAGTGTTGAGTGTGAGGCTATTTTTAATGTAAATTCTGTTACAATCTTAAAGGATTGTTCATTAAAATCAAATCTTTATTGTGCTTTCATGCTGTGTTCACAGGAACTTCTATGTAGTAGTGGTGCCGCTTAAGAAGACCCCAGGAACTGTTAAAGACTTGAAAAACCCTGATGAGATAGACATAGAAGAGGTAGCGCACACAATAAGCTTTCAAGCTGTTTTTTTGTTTGTTTGTTTGTTTGTTTATCATTTTGGCTCTGTACACCACCACAGTGGATTGTACAACCAGCCAACATATGATTAAACTGGAGACTTTCAGCTATAATTTACAAATTAAAGGTATATATACACATTTTCCCTCATTTTAGAGGCTCAAACGTAAATGGACAATGGACTGACAAGCAGTTTAATGGGCTGGTCAGATTTTTACATTCTTATTCCAAGAAAAATTAAGCAAATACGAGATCTGCAGTCGATTCCAAGTGTTAAACTTGGATTTGGTGGCTTCTCACTGTTAAAGCTGAAAGTCATTTCAGTTACTTCTTGACTACCTGATTTTAAATAAACTGTGATGACATACAGAGGCAAAATTGCAAAAATTGCATCATTATACATAAACAGTAGTTTTCATGTTCTGTCCACATTGTGCACATCATGTACCCATGTAGGCAAGGCACACAGAACACAGACATAAGTAAATCTCAGCTATGCTAATTTGCCCCCCCCCCCCCAAAAAAAAAAAAAAAGCATGCAGAAGAGAGAATTACACAGTCTTCTCCTACTCATAACCATAGCTCGGGGTCACCTTGAGCACCAGATCAACAGCAGCCATCCCTATTGGATTTGGGATTACACACATTCCCTCTGCTTAGGGCCCGCCTCTGTCTGCAGTCTAAACTGAATGAGAGAGGATTGATGTAGGGGAAAGGGTTGCATGGTTGCATGGAGCATTGCCAGAAATGTTGAAGCTTTTAGAATCTTAAGTGTGCAGTTACACCTACAGATTGTTTTCTTTGATCTCAGGAAGAGTTCAAGACCTTCTACAAAACAGCTACTTATTCAAGAGACCTACTGCTTATGTATTTGAAAATTTGTACTACTGCCATATTACAGTTTCTTATTTCCAGTTTATTGAATTGATGTCATTTTTTGTGCTTAAATAATAGCTCTTGTTTTGTTTAGATTTTTATTTAAAAAACATTAACATTATAAACACTTTCTGCACTCAGAAACTCTCATTAGGTCTGACTTGAATGTTCTCTATATTTAGTCTTTGATCTGCCAAAATTTTAAAAATACACTCACGCTCTCACACATAAAGAAGTACAATAAAACCTTTTTACGTCAATCAGCTGTTGAGGGAGGTGAATCCAAAGCGCCGTTCACGCCGTCAGCTGGACCAGAAGAAGCCCTACATCATAGCCTGCTTCAGGCAACTGCCCGCTAGCTTCACAGTAGGATCTGAAAACCGCCACAGTAACTGTGAGAACAAGCCTCTCGAACCTGGCCAGGAGTATGTCTTCTTCCTGCTGGTTGAACTCAATGCCACTAGCGGGGTAAGACAGTTCAGTCGAATTTTTGTCAGAGTGGATTTAATTATGCGGTTTTCTTCAGTTAATAGTGGATCTCTTAATGCTGATTTATCTAAACCTAACACATTTATGCTTCTTGTGGTATTCAATTCAGTTTGTTCAATTTGTATCTTTGGGTTTTATGCACTGTACTAAGTTTTGCGAAAAATTGTTTCTGTTCAGAAAATGTTTGCAGCAAGCCCATATACCGACACGGTGGTGACTCCTGAGCTGGTCGTGGACCCTTTGCCAGTAGACGCTGGAGATGGTCTCATATGGGTGTTGGGCCCCGTCCTGGCTGTTGTCTTCATTATCTGCATCGTCATCGCCATTCTTCTGTATAAAAAGTGAGTGGGCTTGGGAATTTCTGTTTGTGGTGATACTTGTGTGTAAAGATGTCAGAACCTCAAATAGATGTGAAGTTTGGAGTTTGGTTTTTCTTGTCATTTCATGCCAAACCCCTTATTTGTAGTCAAACTGGGGAATTGGGCTATCTTAAATGATTGCATGCTAGGCGGCATGTTGAACGAGGGTCTTATTATGTTTTCATGGCAGCATGATATTCAAAGTCCCAAAAACACAGTTGCATGTAAATATGAAACTTTTTTTTTGTGGAAAAAAAAAGATGGTCGTGGGATGTGAGCTGGTTGGAGAAAGAAGAGAGGAGGAGATTCTTTGAGATGGTGCTCGACTAGTAGAAAGAATTTGTCAGTCAGTAGATGTCAAAAGTGTTTATTCACAGCGAGTATAGGAAGGGTGATAAATTCAAGGGAACAATAAAATAAAGATGTGGTGCCAAAAGTAGACCTTGGTAAAGCATTCATCCAAAATGTGTTGCTTCGTTTGTTGTTGATGTTGGTTAATAGAACGTGGACAGGGCTGTTGTCATCATGAAAGGGACAGGATAGAAATGTTCTATCACAGGACTGGAGTGAGTCTAGTAAGCGTGCCACTGCCCTCCCTCTAAATAGACACAAACCATGAAACCAGTATGATCTCTACCACATAAAAACCATATGCATTATAGAGGAGTGCAGCTATCATGTTACGGTATCATAACTAAAGGTTTTTCCTACATATTGTCAGAGTCTGGATGTGAAATTAGAACTGCGAATTCTAGTGTTCAAGCACTTTTTCCAGTGTTGCCTAAGTTACCCAATAATAATGTTAGTAATGACTAAACTACTAGATTAAAAACTGGGTGATCTTTTTTTTTTTTTTTTACTGTAGTGGAGATCAAACTTGCCTTTAAAGCCCAACACCTCTGCTCCTCTGAGTCAAGACTAAGTGAACTCTCTGTAGCTTCGAGCTTTGGAAGATGCACATGCAGTCAGTATATCGCCCTTTTTTACTGTTAGCTGCACATATTTGCCTCGGGGGCTGCAAATCCAAACAGAACAATGTTGCAAGAGGTTGCCCTACATACCAGGAAAGATCCCTGAATTATCTAGAAGGGGGTAGGACTGGTGTGAGAAGCATGAGCAGGGCTCGCTACTGTCAGATGATCCGTGACTATCTGACCTTGGTTTACCTCCATCTTGAATGGTTAGAGGGAGAGTAACATCTCTCCTTGAATCTCTCTCTTTTTTCTCTTCTCTTTCACTCCACCTCACTCTCCCATCTCCCCCATCTCTCCATGGTGAATAGTGTTTCCCAGGACTGCCCTTGGCCCTGACATTCCCCTTTCCTATCTGTATCTGCACCCTTCGCACACACACGTACACACACACGCATGCACGCACACATCCACAGACACGCAAATGCAGGGCTCTCGAATGTATGCGCTTACTTACACATTTCATTGAATACGCACTCATTCCAACTCATTGACACGTGCACACACTTGCACTCATGCACACACCTTCTTCCAATGCTGATGAGCTTTATCTCGCTTTTTTGCGAGCCCAGCAGCGACCCCTGTGAATTTTAAACTGCTCTCTATTGATTTATCTCTCTTCTTGCCTCCCCGTCTCCCTTTCTCCTTGTGTGTTGTGTTTTCACCATCTTTATATATTTATTTGACTCCTATTGCTTTCTCTGGAAACAGCAAACCCGACAGGTAAGGCTTAGTCTTACTTAGATTTAATGCATTTTTCAAGACAAAATAGCTTGTCTCAGCACAAAATGGCCTTAATTAGTGAGAGTGAAGGAGACTTGTTCATACTCGATACATGTTACCAGCTTCACAGTCCGTGATTTTGCTTCACTCTTAGCTTTTCTGACCGACTGAGCTACCAATCAGTCAGAGTTACTGAGTAGATAGTGAGGATGGGATCTCTTGTGCTGGATCAAGTGTGCGTTAAAGTTTTTCTTTTTCTTTTGTCTTTTTTTGTACGTCTTCCCCTCTTCCTTCTTTATGTTTGACTTACTGTCCAGCCACAAAAGAAAAGAGTCGGAGCCACGCACAAAATGTCTGCTGAACAACGCAGACATTACACCCCATCACCCCACAGACCCCGTGGAGGTGAGGCGCATCAACTTCCAAACTCCAGGTAAGGCAAAAGGTGCATTACACTCTGAATGAAGAACAGGAAGCTCATTCATCTCATTCTAAAATTGTAGAGCAAAAAAGGATTGGAAGAAGTTTCTTTTTCAAATAAAATTAATGGAGGCTGTAAAGGAGGTTTAATCCAAAAAAGATCTCACGGGCTGCATACATGTGTGAATCTGGAGAAGACCTTTCATATTGTTGCACAATTACAATTCAGAGAGAAAACCTTTCATGAAAGCAGAATATAAATATATGGTTATGCATTAATACACTTTACGTGTGTCGTGACAGCAGATTGTTACACTTACACCCACATGTGCTACTCCAAAATGATTGCATATGTGCTTTTGCGTACACCCTGTCTGAGTCCCCCCATATCATTGTGTTTGACATAATTTGCCATCATAACAGCCTGTAGGCTATAAGCATGTGTTTGCCATATCCCCATTAACCGCTGATGAATAAGAAAGAGTTTGAAATGTTGTGCATTGTCAGGCCTGCCTTTTTTATACCCTGGCTTTCTACGTGGTTTTATCTTTTTTTCAAAAAGGTCTCAAAGACTTTAGAGTCAGACCTGTTACATATCGTCAACTTTTCTTTAATGTCAGGTGTGTTTCCAGAACCACTAAAAACTGCTGTAAT